GTGGCAGTAGTGGCAGCCTCCGCACGCCAAACAATAATAAAAAAAAAAATATATATATATATATATATATTCCGCTGCCAAATCGCCTGATTCATTGACGCATTCTGTATAATCGCGAAAGTTCGTATGTCAGTCTGTCCTACCCCTTAACATGGGAGGAATAAATGGAAAGAGATGAAGGTAGAAAATATATAAAGGTACGGAAGAACGGAAGTGAGGGAGTTGTTTTACCTCGACGGAAATGGAGAAAGAAGGAGGAGCGGATGTTGAAACGGCGGAAAAGACAAGGGAAACAAAAACCAGAGAAAGAAGCGAAACGTTCATTCCCCATCAACATGTTAGGTAAAGTTAGTAACCACCATGAACAAAACCTGCGAATAGCTCTAGTCCATTATGGGGTAATTTCCGAACTCATTGTTATATAAACTATTCTGATTGTTTTGGACCATTGTACTCACCTTCCAATGTTCTTCGTATAATTCTGGTGTGTGTAGACGCTGATATATCTTGCTCTGTCCTGAAGTATACTGATAAATAGACTATATATTGTACATGTGTTGTGATTTTTAGGTCATTATCACAACAGATACAAGTATTTTTAATGAGCCAAATCATACAGAGTGTCCGGATGAAAGGTATCCAAAGTAAAACCGTTATATCTCCGAAAGAATTTATTATGCACATTAATGGTTTACACCATTACAAAGGGAAACTATCAAGTTTTTTTTTTGCATATTATAACTTTCTCAATAAATTTAAATGTGGGCTCCCTTGGTGGCACGACAAACATCCATACTTGAAGCATGTTTGTTGTTACCGTAGCCCCAGCATCATTTATGTGGGCTTTCGGGTGTTGAAGGTCGTTGACCTTGACCTGGTAAACAGTGTTCTTCACATAACCCTCAAGAAAAAATCCACTGGGGTTAAATCTGGCGACCTAGGAAGCCAAGCGATTGGTCCACCTCTGCCAATTCATATCGCAGGCATCTCTCTGACCAGGTGATTCCTAAGATGGTGACAAAAATGTGGCAGCATATGCACGTAAGCCGGGTATGAAAAAAAATCAGAGTTTTCCTTTCCGATGACATAAACCGGATACATGTATGACAATTAGTTTCCGAGATATACACTTTTTTACTTTGGATACCTTTCATCCGGACATCCTATATTTATATTGTGGTCTCTCAGCCCGAACCAATGTAATAGAATTCCGCAAATTCAAACTGAGTTCTTAACATTTAAGGTGACCCTCCCCCTGCAATCCTGTTGTTTCACGAAAATAACACTATGCTGTTGCCTGTGTGTCAGCGCTGGACAGGGTGCGTGCAGAAATCAGGTCGGATACAGACAGCCTGGCCCATTCTGAAGGGACTCTCAGCTCTGGCTGCTGCAACTGCCCCAGTCCTGCTCTGCCACTGTCAGAACCACTGCAGGAACCTCACCATGGAAGAAAGGGCTCGCTGCAAGTCCCAAAGAAAGTGACCACGTACCGCAAGATTTGTGATGTCACCACAGGTCAGTGAAGTGAGTCTGACATGCCACACTAATGGCATGGAAGTAAGTCCCATGGATGTTGGGAAATGACAGGGTTCAAGGGTTCTTCCCCTTTGTCTATTGTTGTATACCCCTCCACACTCCACCAACTTATGTCAATTAGACAAAACTGCTTGTCACTAGTGAATCAAATTCATGCGAACAGAATGGCCACACAGACGATTGAAGGAAAATACATATATACAATATGCTGGAAGCTCAATAGTTCAGCTTCTTTCTGTGGTCACAGTAGACTATAGATCTGAACATTCATACTGGTTACTCCATTATTGAATGAACATAGGGTAAGTGCTGTTAGGCAGACAGAAATACATACACTGGAGCTGTTAATACCTGATCCTAACCCTTTTGAGGGTGAAATTGCTATTGAAAAATTGAAAAGGTATAAATCGCCAGGTACTGATTAAATTTTGGCAGAACTTATCCAAGCAGGAGGTGAAAAATTAAGTAGTAAGATCCATAAAAAGTAAAGTAAAGTAAAGCTATCCCGGTACCAGGCCATGAATGCCCATAGGGTTGTGAGACATTGAGGGTCCCACACTATCTAGACAATCGGCTCAAAGATAGCGGTAAGGTTGTCAGCCTTATGCGCCAGCCGCTCTGTACTCCCCAGGAAAATTATTTAATTCATTTCTGGTACTCATTTCTGTTAGAGGGTGAGTAAACCCGAGGGCCTAGTGCGGCTGGAAGGATTAGATCAACTGGAAAGAATCCAATGACCTCATTTGGACTTGAACCCGCGACCTTCCGGCTTGTAGCATAGACCCTCAACCAGCTACGCTACCGCATGCCCCCACTAAGATCCATAAGCTAATTAATTCTATTTGGAATAACGAAAAATTTCCTGATCAGTGGATGGAGTCTATTATTGTACCAGTTCACAAGAAGGGTGATAAGATTGACTGTAGTAATTATCAGGGGATATCACTACTGCCAACTTCATACAAATTTTTATCCAATATTCTTCTCTCAAGATCAAATTCATGTACAGACGGAATTATTGGGGGATGATCAGTGTGGGTTTCAACAAAACAGATCAACTACAGATCAGATCTTTTGCATTTGTCAGATATTGGAGAAAAAATGGGAGTACAATGAGACAGTACATTATCTATTCATAGATTTCCAGAAAGCCTACGATTCAGTTAGGAGGGAAGTATTGTACAATATTCTGATAGAGTCTGGGATACCCATGAAACTAGTCAGACTGGCTGAAATCTGTTTGAACGAAACATGTGGTGAAGTCTATATAGATAAATATTTGTCTGATAATTTTCCTCTCCAGAAGGGTCTAAAACAAGGAGATGCTTTATTGCCATTCATCTTCAACTTTGCTTTAGAATATGCCATTAGGAAGGTCCAAGTAAACCAGGTGAGACTGAAATTAAATGGAACACGTCAGCTGTTGGTCATGTTGATGATGTGAATCTACTGGCTGATAATGTAGGTACCATAAAGAGAAACACACAAACATTAATTGACACTAGTAAGGAGGCTGGTAAAAACAAAGAAAACTAAGTATATATTGCTATCTCATCACCAAAATGCAGGGCAAAATCATGACATAAAATTAGGTAACAGATGTTTTGAAAATGTAGCACAGTTCAGATATTTGGGATTGACAATAAGAAATCAAAACCTGATTCAGGAGGAAATTAAGAGGAGACTGAACTAAGGTAATGCTTGCTACCATTCAGTCCAGAATCTTTTGTCGTCTTTTCTTCTGTCCAAAAACATTAAATTTACAGTATATCAAACTATTATTTTACTTGTGGTTCTGTATGGGTGTGAAACTTGGTCTCTGACATTAAGGGAGGAACATAGACTGAGGGTATTTGAGAACAGAGTGTTCAGGAGAATATCTGGACTGAAGAGAGAAGAAGTGACAGGAGGTTGGAGAAAACAGCATAATGAGGAGCTTCATAACATGTACTCTTCTACAAGTATAATCAGAATGATCATGTCAAGGTGGATGAGATAGGCAGGGCATGTAACACGAATAGGGGAGAAGAGGAATGCATATAGGATACTGTGGGAAAGCGTGATGGGAAGAGACTACTGGGAAGACCAAGGCATAGGTCGGTGAACAATATTAAAATGGATTTTAGAGAGATAGGATGGGATGGTATGGATTGGACTGATCTGGCTCAGGATAGGGACCAGTGGCAGTCTCTTGTGATCACAGCAATGAACCTTCAGGTTCCATATAATGCTGGGAAGTACTTGAGTAGCTGCACAATTGGCATTTTCTTGAGAAGGGCTTAGCTCCACGAGTGAGATTATTCATTTTTAAAATTATTACCATCCCATCCATGTTCCACAATGATGGATATCAGGTTATGCAAAACAATAATTTGCCGTTTATTGCATGATGGGTGAGAAATTCAATAATTTACTTTGAAGAGAAAACAAAATACAGAAATTTGAGAGTAAGGTGATCAGGAGATATTTTGACCTATAAAGAATAAAGCAAGAATTTTAGATTGATAAATAATGGTGAACTTCGTGATTTACATAAGTAACCTAGTACATTGTTAAAGTAGTGAAATGGATGAAAGCCATGATGGGATATGCTTATAATTTGACTGGTTAAAGACACTAAATGCATAGAGAATTTGGTGTGAAATGTTACAGAAGACCAAGGTGATGTGAGAATAAAATTGAGTTCTGTCTAAGGGAAATAGGGTATGAAGATGGAAAGTTGCTGGAATTGGTTCAGAATTGTATGCAATTAAAAATTTTGGTACTGAGAGTTTTGACACTTCTGGTAATGAAATCAAAATATATGTTAATTTCAGAAAGTCATATTAGCAATTGCAAAAGTACATTCTTGAAATCGGAGCCGTGACAGAAATTTTTGTGCAGTTCCAGGTGTATCTGTGGACGACCTGCCAGTGCAAGGAGTTTTGGGAAGCAAGTTCTCTTCAATAGTGGAAACTACGTTAACAAAACTGCGACCAAAGAAACCCGATGTTTAGAATCTCTCAGCGTTGAAAATATGGAAATAATCATAGTTATTTATTATGAGGCTGCAGTTAATAGTGGAAACTGTATGCATTCTTATTAAACTGCAATGCAGCAATGGTGTGATGTGTAACTTCCTTATTTTATAAAGAAAGGCGAGATTATGGCATCGTCATGTCAATGCATCTTTCCTCCTAACACTTCTTCAACAATTTCAAATTAGAGGTTGTCACTAAACCTAATACGAACATCATGCAACTAGAGGCATTCTCCACTTTGTATTTTAATTTCCTGCCATTAATGAGACCATCATGCAGGCCATTCGAATTTCTCAAGGGGAAGCGAAAACATCGTCATTTTAAATTTTGTATTATAATAGACTTTAAAAATACTGTATTTTCATTACAATTACATTTTTGTAGGATATGAAATAACGCGGAAGTTTGCCGAGATCCATGTTCACATTCAAGTGTCGTGGCAATAATTACTCTTTGTAGATAAATAAAATGGTATAGTGTGTATAGTGAATGCCTTTCTATTGAATCGTTATTTTCTTTGCTGACTGCAGTACATAGGCCTACATTGGCCAAAATGTTTAATTACCAGCACGCCCGTAATTTCACTTATTATTATTATTACTGTATGTTGAGCTTCATACAGTTAGCAGTGTACCAACCTTGTATAGAGGTAGTGTCAGACTGAAGTAGATTGCAGTCCATCAATTCTCCGCAGGACTACAATATACTTCGGTCTGACATTAACTCTATACAAGGTTGGTACACTGCTAACTGTATGGAACTCAACTTCAGTAAAATTAAATTATATCCTTCTCCAGGGAAACCAACGTACTTATCTACAATTATCAACTTTTCCAATCCTCCATAAACTGGACAAGACTCTGTAGAATACCTGGGAGTATTTACTGATGTTAAACTTAATTTCCATAACCACGTCAACCATATTCTCTCTCGTTGTATTAAGCTGTTAGGCCTAGTTCATGTATTACCTTCACCTTCTCATCTCTAGAATGTATGCTCAGACTGTACATCATATTAGGCAGATCTGGGCCTGAATATGCGTCCATTGTCTGGAATTCAATTACATCAACTGATGCCAACAAGCAGGAACACATCCAGCAGAGGTGTGCGGCCCTCTGTTTTAATCGTTTCTTTCCTGTTATTCTCTTCAACTGGAGGAGTTATAATTACACACATTACGTATGAAGTGGTATTGCCTCGATGGTCTCTTTCTTACACAAGTTTACTTTGGTTTGAAATTCTGCCTTTCTGTTCTGGAAATTGTTGGTCTCCGAGTTCTGTCTTGGTATATCAGAGACTTCGCACTGTTCAATGTCTGCTCCTCATGTAAAAATTGTCTCTCTGCTAGATGTGCAGCAGCTGCTAATCTTGTTTGCAGGGACATTGACATATTCGAAGCCAGGAAAGTTCTCGGTAAATTTTATAATATATTACAATTAATATTGATATGATTATTCTTCTGTGTATGTATGACTATTATGCTTTCTCGCCACTTAAAGACTTAACCATTGCCTGGGTACTTATCTTAATATTCTGACCTCTTAATGACAACTTTGATTTCACATGCAATTATTATTAGTATTATTGTCTTTATTAGTAGTATTATTGTTATATATTATGTTATATTATTATTATTTGTATTTTGTTTGTAAGTTCTTTCATGCGCTCATGCTAAATTTTTAATTGACCCTGGGCTGTTAAGTTTGCATGTTAATAAAACAGAGTAGAATTAAATTGAATTATTATTATTATTATTATTATTATTATTATTATTATTATTATTATTATTAGCATAATTATTATTGCCAGGAATGAATTATTACAGATGATATGCGTTATTTTTCTGCAGTGACAATTTTCGTTTTACTTGACTCCATCTCAAGTGAGATTCCACGACAGTTTGCTGTCAAGTAAAAAACCAAGAAACTTCATGGACAGAGCAATTAATAAAGTGCCATTACTTAGGAAAAGGTTTGGGGAGGATATGAACCCCACAACTGTAGGGTTGTACACATTATATCTTCCCAGAAGATAAAGAGAATCCAGTCTTCAGAGCCCAGTGTGAAAAATGTCTAATTTCAAATTCAAAGTGCTCCAGAATCTTTGGTCAATGACTACAAATCCACTGACAATGATACACATTGACCAACCACTCTATCCCATTGATGATGACCGCAATAAGGCCGCATTTTAAATTGACCCCTGTGGCACTCCATTTTCAAGACAGTGTGCAGTTGAAATGTTGTCAATATGAACACGGCCATGGAGAAAATTAAAAAGAAGTTGTAGCCAACCTCTAAGTTCACCCCAGTGGAGGGAATTCTTTATTAAATTTGTGAATGGTTTCCCTCATGTTGCAAAATCTTGAACTCAGACAAAACTAGCAATAATGGTATTTTAATGAGCTCTTTGCACTGCAGCTCCTGTACTGGGGACTAGCTCTATGGATTTGATTCAACCTGAAGATGGAGACAGAATCCAGTCTCTGAAATGTTATGTGTTGTGTCTTGTTTTAATAGGATGGATAATGTCCAGAAACACAATAATTGTAACTCCTATGCTGCTTTTTCTTGCATCTCCCGCTGGAAGTTTTCATAAAATACACATGTTGTTCTTTTATACAATATATCATCCCGCATTTGATTTCTTACTGTTTGACAGTTTCTCCTTGCAAACGAGGCACTGCAGTTCTGTTGAATTGGGTAGGTACTCCGTTATGTAGTCTGCACTGTTCTCGTATTTTAATATTTCGTTTTATGTTGCAAATGTAGCTAGGGCGTTGTGGTTTCCTTTTAATGTTCATGATTTAAATATTTTTCACATGATCTGCCTTGCAGATACATTTTCTCTATACCATGGTTTTTCAAATATATGGGACTAACATAGTTCATGACGCACCACTGGCCCAGTGGTTGTACTACTTACCTATGCTTTTCGCCACTCTTCAGTTATTACATAGTGTAATATTGTACATCAGTTCAGGATTGATTTTGCATATTGAGTGAAATGATATAGCCTTTCTTTGCTAGTACGTGTACTTACTCATTGTTTGTTATTCAGGTATGTTTGGGTATTCATACTAGTGCTCATACTTAGTTTCTTAGTTGATATAGCCTTTTCTTACATTTATCACACACCAGTTGAAAGACGACATTAGGTAATTTAATTGCAGTTTTAGTATCATTGATTTTATTAGACGAGTCTACTTTGAGGTGACCACAAACTGAAGAGACCCAAGAGAACAATTATGTGGTTCAAGAACTGTTTAATATACACCAGCATCTGCATATAATTCACAAATATATTATATCACAAAACAAATTCAGTATTAAAATGTATATTAAAAATGTTAAAAAATGTGAAAGGTTTTTTGATGACAGGTTAAGAATTGTATGCCAACATAAATATCTTAAGTTTCACTGCTACAGTGTAGAAAATTGGGCGTGTATGTTGTTTGTAGGTCTTATTGTAGAAGCTTTCTACGTAGTAAGTCCGGTTGTGAAGCCAAACAAAAAGTTTCTATGATGTACGGGTTGTGTGTGGATATTGGTATGCTGTTCGCACGATATGTATCTTTATATGATTGTACAATATGGCGTATGTGTTCCTTGTCTGGGCATGTATACGTTCTGTGTGTTCTACACTGTGCGGTGGTTCGATGTAGATCCAGAACCTATTGTCCTCTCGTCTTACTTACTTACTTACTTACTTATGGAGCTGAGCCCTTCTGGAGGAGCCACCAATTCTGCAGCTACTCAAGAACTTCCCAGCATTTTATGGGCCCCGAAGGTTCATTACCGTGTTCACAAGAGCTCTCCACTGGTCCAAATCCTGAGCCAGATCAATCCAATCAATATCATCCCATCCTATCTCTCTAAGATCCATTTTAATATTGTCCACCCACCTACGCCTTGGTCTTCCAAGTGGTCTCTTTCCTTCTGGCTTTCCCACCAACATCCTATACACATTCCTCGTCTCCCCCATTCGTGCTACATGCCCTGCAAACCTCATCCTCCTTCACATTGTCATCTCATTTACTGCCCAAAAACATGAAAACTAAAGTACACAAAACTATAATTTTGCCTACGGTTCTGCTGACACAGCTGTACGAAAATGTGTATCCTATGTTCGAATTTGAGGTCCTACAAGATCCACCAATAAAGGAAAACTTTCAATGCTCATTCTGTAAAGTGATTTGAACAGTTCTACGACCATATTGAACATTATTATTATGTGACATTGCAGAAGAGAAGTGCACGAAATTGGCGGGCAAGTACACTCGCTTGAGATATTGTGAGAAACTAATTGATCGTAAGTTTCCTCAGTGTGCGCCTGCTAATCTAGAAACCAGTTGCCTGCTAGAAATCGACGAATTTTCTAGGAAATCGCTGTTGCATTGCAGTTGTCAGTTTCCTTGGTATGCGCCCAGCCTTACACTGACAGAAGCTGTAGAAGATTGGCTGCAAAATATTTTAGCAAAGGATTTAATTCTAAATATAATCATACTCTCGGATAACCAGGTGATCGTTGCAAATAGATCCTATGAACTGCAAAGAGCAACATGTAAAAACAAAAACAAAAAAAAAAGTAAAGCTATCGCTGTAATAGGCCGTGAAGGCCCATAGGGTTGTGAGACGTTGAGGGTCCCACACTATCTAGACAATCGGCTGAAAGATGGCGGTAAGGTTGTCAGCCTTACGCGCCGGCTGCGCCATACTCCCCAGGAAAATTATTTAATTAATTCTTGGTACTCATTTCTGTTAGAGGCTGAGTAAACCCCAAGGCCTAGTGCGGCTGGAAGGATTAGGTCAACTCAAAAAAATCCAATTACCTCATCGGGACTGGAACCCGCGACCTCTGAGCAATATAGCGATTAAACATAATTTGAAGATTTCCGTAAATAAGCCAAAGGCAATAAATGTGCTAGGAAAGGCGAACGTGAATCATAAATTCTGACATAACTGAACAAGGAACTAGTTCCAGTTACTTAGGGTACACCATTACAGCATCAAACAACAAATATTTGGGAACAAAAATGAACAGATTTAGTCCAATGTGTAGCACAGTAGGAAAGAACATCGCATAATAACTCAAGAAAAAACATAACAGATAAAGTTTTATAAAGCTATGGTGGATCCGAAATGTGGAATTAAAGAAAACGGGAAGAAAAAATTGAAACTGCAGAAATGAAGTCCTTGATGGGTGTAGCAGGGTATAGAAGGAAGTGCCAAATAAGAAATACTACAATTACGGAAGAGCTGAACATCTTTAATCTAAATGCTAAAATTATAAAATCAAGATCACAATGGAAATATCACGCGCAAGGAATGGAAGACAGGCAGGTGCCAAAAAAAATTCATATAACTCAAAAAGATATAACGCAGTGTAATCTGCTGAAAGATACTTTGCTTGCCACTTGCTTCGAACTGATTGCTTGCTTGGCTTATCGTTCGATCTTATAGATGGAGAAGACATGTCCTTCCGAAACGTCAGACGAATTTCAGCGGACTACATGGCATTATATCGCATAAGATACAACTCTTCGAATATCGTTGTCTATTTTACATTATTGATGACTAGCAGCATGTATTATCTGTAGGATCTGTATGATACTATACTTTCATACCAGTAGCTTGTATATAATTTAGTAATCCGTGCTTTTAAAATCCAGAGGGTGCAGTGCGTCGCTATCAGTTGTTATCACGGATTAGCTATATACAAGTTGGTGCTATTTCGATGTTTACTGTTCTGCGAAAAGTTTGTGGTGAAACACTTTAATTACGTTACGTATTTTTAGTGCGTATGTTTTACTTGTTCGTCAGTATTAGAATATGTATCACGAATATGAGAAACGTAGGGCTATTGGAAGTATAACAATATAAGTGTTCATGTTTCAGTTTTGACAAGTACTTTCAACAGTTAAGCCCCTGTCTATACCGTGTTGAACATGGCTTCATCGAATAGGGGCATACAGATTGGTTCAGCCTGGTTTCAACGAAAAATCAACCTTAGGCCGCAGCATAGGGGTGTTCATTTAGTAACCGAAGAAATTCTGAGGCAAATTCCAGAAATATGTCAATTTTCAGTTGGATTGTGTCATGTACTGCGTAAGTATTGAGTGTTTGTACTATTGGAAGCACGTTGTATTTTGAGTAAAAAAATGCATAGGTTAGCAATTTCAAAGTTTTAACTGAAGATGGTTTTTACCTTCCTGACTGTTTGACTTTATTTATTTTTTAATGTAATAACCTCATATTTTAGCCGTGTCTAATATCGCATTGTATTTCAATAGCTAGTTGAAGTTACATGTCTTTGTAGTACTAGACTTAAGTTGTAAAGTAGCTGTAAATCCAGTTCCAGTTCTGTGTAATCTCTGTAACTTCTACTTCTTTGGCAGTACTGTGGAATGCCGATGTTTTGATGTCAGTAACCAATATAACCTAACATTTTCAACTCCTAACCAGAGATGTAACTCAGTCATTTACAAATATAAAATGGTATGGCGTACTTCCTATATAATTACTGGAAATTATTTTTATTGTTTACAATGAATTTAGACTTTGGGGGGGGGAGAGCTGCAAAGCCTTTTTTATTTTAAAGATTCAGAAGAATTGACTTATTAAAATTGTTGTNACCCAACAGAATAGGTGTTTTCCTTCACCTGAGGACGGAAACAGATCCAGTTTCCGAAACGTCGTGTTTTTATTAGTTATCTTAAAAACCAGGACGATGGATAAAGTCCGAAAACCCAATATATCAGTGTGTTATACACCATCGTCAGAATCCTATAGTAACTACTAATATCGATGCTGTTTAACAAATTTGTTTGAACATGCTGGTTATAGGAGAACAAATCAGAATAACTTTCTAGCTTCAATTATGTGTAAATACATTTTATAATATTTATAATTAATCCAGTGTTAATTTACTGAAAGGAGGCAGTGGCACCAAATACAAAGGCATAAATGGGAGGGCAATATTAAAATGGAATATAGAGGAATGTGATGGGAGAGGGTAGACTTGGATTTGTTTAGCTTAGGTTAAGGACTAGAGGCAGGCTGTTGTGAACACAGTAATGATTCTTCATATTCTTTGAAAGGTGATGAATTTCATTGAGTGATGGTTAGTTTCTAGAGGAAAACACTGCACCATTTAGTGAGTTTTTTTCCACTTAGTGGGGGGTGGAGTCGAACTGGGTCCACGCGGCGCGGGGGACACTGATTGGTCTATTGTACCTGCCCAGGGTGATTATGATGATGGAGAACTTGGTGGAATGGAGATTGGCAAGGGAAACCAAAGTACTCAGAGAAAACCCACCCCAGCGCCACTTTGTCCACCACAAACCCTACTTGACCAGACCCGGGATCAAACCCGGGCCGCCACAGTGGGAAGCCAGTGACTAATCACTTGAGCAATGGCATGGCCCTAGTGAGTTAGTTATGAAGTAACTGATCTGTAAATGTGAGTTATAAAGTAACTGATCTGTAAATGGCATATTTTTATGGATTTTGATATAAAGTTTATTTTTAAATCTATTTTATAGTGCTTTGGATTACACATGCTATTGAAAGAATAGCCTCAAGTTTTATATTTTACAGTTGATGTGGATTGGAAGCAACCCACCAATAAATTTCATTTAACAGGACACATACATGTGAGAGAAGCAGATTTTCAAAAATTCTTTGAAGGCAGAGGAGATGAAAGTGTGAACATGAGATGAAATTTATTTTTCAGCATTTTGTGGGTTGTAATATTGGAGTTTCACATGGTGGTGACTGTGAAGAATATTGTCTTCAGGGATGCTCTTCTTAAATATTGGTTATATTCTACTAGACTGCATGATTTTACATTCTGGAAGATGGTATTCATTATTATATGAGTTGTTTGTGATGGTATGAAAGAGAGATGGGTTAATTAACCATCTTTTTACCCATGTCAGTGATTATGTTGACTATATACCAGTACTGTGGTATGTAGTAAGCTGTTGCTTGTGTTGGCATAATCTCTCTTCCATTTACTGCCAGACACGTTTATAAAATTAATTGCATTTTTAAGATTTAAGCGTAAATTATATTTGAATAGCTTGTCTTAGATGACAGCTTAGTGCAAATTAAATTCTGTGTGACAGTGGCATGAATTTAAACTCATATTCCCTTATCTTTTAACTTCAGATGTAAGTTCACAACATGGTAACCTGTTACACGTACAGTGTTATGTCATAGTTACCCTGTTCCTTACCAGACATCTGTAGTTCTGCCAGTAAAATTAAAACCGGTGTTTTTGTTCATATTTAAATATACTTCAGTATTTCACATACTTTATGTTAGGTCTGTGGTGGTCATAGTAAATGCAGGTAAAATTTTGATTCTGCAACAGTTTTGGCAGTTGATGACTTCAAGTTGGTGCTTGCTGCAGTGGTTCATATTTTTGGCCACAATATTGTAAAGTTCTTTAGAAGTTTTTTTTTTATTGCTAGTGGCATTGGCTTAAGTCCCTTGTACTGCGGCCACTTCTGGCCTATTGTACCAGCCCCAGATGATAGGTGAGGGTGATTGTGGAGCAGTTGGTGGAATGAAGATTGGCAGGGGAAACCGAAGTACTGAAAATATGTTCAGGCACGTTATAAAATGGACTTAACATGTCTTGGTCCATGGGTTGTATGAGGGAGGAAATGTGTGGAGGGAGAAACAGGCATTGAATTTTCCCATCCCTTGCTTCTCAGCAAAAGAGTTGAAGGGTGAACAGGAGAATTGTCCGGTAGTATCAAGGCTTTCACGCTTTCAGATTCATGTTTAAATTCATACATCTGGTGTTTCTTGACCTCAGATGCAAAGCGGTTGTGATCACTGATTGCAGCAATGTAATCATCAAGGTCATAATGCACCAAAAAAACAGTTGCACAAATTGTCACCAATTCCAAATTAACAAAGTCTGAATTAGTGAGATTTCACTGTATGTAGTGATAATATCAGCTGGGAACCAACTGTCATGATCTGAGATCCTTTGGTGAAAATCGTGGAATAGATCCTTGAAATAAACAGAATTATATCCATTATATGCCTCATCATTCATCATGCAGTCGTACCATAGCTTATTCAGAATCGCATAAAGATACCAGCATACACCCCAGTATGTTTCTTACTTCCATGTTATATGTATCTAAATGTGAAGAAGTGTAAAGAAGTTGAGATAGATATATCTGAGTTTATTAGCATTTGTGGGGGGGGGGGGGTTGGAAAACCCTGTGCATTTCATCATATTATGGAATAGTATCATGGACAAAGACATTTCCATTTTACAAACCTACCTCAAGTAAACGTTTGGCATGATGATGAAAGTGAGCTGGTCCAAAGCTGTCCGCCTGTTTTTACATGTATACACTCCATACCCACTATAATCCAAAGTGACTTCAGTTACATAGATTTTTTTTATCCAGTACGTTTGATTCCGTGGTTCCGCACGCCGTATTATAGCAGAGATTAAGTGTTTGTTCACATGCCTATACCAGTTATTATCTGTTATGTGATGCTGAATTATGTGTGTATTAGAAGCAACTCAAAAAGATGGGACAGAGCTGGAGTTACAATTTTTAGTACATCCAGTTGGAAAAAAAATTGTGCAGGGTTAGCCAGGAGAAAGCCAGAAGATGAAATAAATCAAAGTATTAATGGTGATAATGTGCTTCACGGTGAATTAGGGCATTCCTGTGTTGTTTTAGTGAAGGTCTGTGCTGAATGTTGGACTGTATTTTACATAATTTATCATATAATCTCTGATGTAAATCATCATGAACATATTCAAGATTTTTGTGGTGGTGAAGATTTAAATCATGGCCTTCTATGTTATGATATCATATAATTTGGTAGGTAGTTATCAGCATTACAAAGGAACCTGCTTCCTCCATTTTTCAGAGTAAATTGAGTATCATAGCATAGATACCCTGAAGGTATTCACATAGTGTAATAATTTTTAAAATACAAAAGAATATAATAAGAATCATTACAGGATGTAGAAGTAGAGATTCATGTAGAGAATTATTTAAGAAATTAAAAATTCTACCGCTTCAATCGCAATACATATTATCGCTTCTCCTATTTGTTGTTTACAACAAAGATAAATTCAAATTAAATTCTGATGTCTATAACATGAATACTAGACAAAAATACAACTTCCACCTACCCTCATCAACTTTATCAGTATATCAAAAAGGAGTCTACTTTACTGGCATAAAAGTGTTCAACAATCTGCCACAAAGTATTAAAAACTTGGGCAATGATACTAAAAAGTTTAAATCAGAGTTAAAGAATTATCTACATGCTCATTCCTTCTACTCTTTAGATGAATACTTCAATGTAAATAGAGAATGATGTAAAATTAAGTTATATTAATTTTTAAGCTAAAATTGCCTGTACTTATGTATGTAACATTTTGACTTGTTCTGTATCCAAAGGTACTAACCTGCTTAGGATTTATAGAATGTAAATAAATTCAATTCAATTCAACAGATATCTCTGAAATGTCATTAATCACTTAACAGACAACACAATGTTATAACCCGAAGATTCAAATCAGAATAATTATAAACAGTAGCAGTATATTTGATGTGTACAAAAACTGTGCCTGATTATATTAAATGTCTGTTGAGAACGGGAGAAAAAATTATAATCATATCCAAATTGAGTTAAGCATAAGAGTTTAAATTCCTCGTAATGAAGAAATTACATATGGACTTTTTTCTTTACAGTGAATACATTACACAAAATCACAGTATGTGTTAGAAGTGGCAGTGGCTAATGATTTCTTCACGTTATTTCTTGTATTGTGTGCTGAATTCATGTAAAAAAAATAATGAATCATGATTGAGTTGTATCTTTGTTTATGGAGGAAACTTCCTGAAGTGATCTTGCTTTCAAAGCTGAAGACATAACTTAACAGCTTTGATTTCCAGTTTGATCAAATGTTACAATTTATTTTCAGTACTCCACACTTCGGCTAGTTTAGCTCTCAATGAAAGTTGGGATCCAGATGTAAGGTAAGTATCGAACTTCAGTAACAGATAAGTGTAGGCAGATTAGCTACAATTCATTAATGATGGTACACTCATTAATGTTTCCTAACCTCATAAATGATATTAATGTGAATTACTCCATTTTTCAGATATGCTAATGGATATAATAAAATCACATTTGAAGAGAATATTTTCTTGTAAATTTTAATGTGATATATTAAATGACCCTGCATAAATAAGACAGTTGGAATACTTAAATGTTATTTGAGTTAGTGTGATATTTCATAACCTGCAGGCTTGAAAGTCTTTTTAAGGTTGTGTTTTAAATGCTAATTACTGCATTTTCAGCACATAACCTACTGACCACCTGTAATTGAACTACCATAAAGATTTTACCTGGGAATAAAGGAAAAAATATAATGGTAATATTTGTACCGTATTTTGAGTGTGAATTATTTCCCAGGCATGGTCTTATTTATGTATTTATTCATATAGTCAATAAATTAGGGACTTTAATTTATGTATGATACAGTACTTGATCATTTTTTGTAGACTGAAGTTGCAGACAAAATTGTTCTAACTCAGTTCCATTTCTTTTTATATAGCTTTTGCCACATAAGTAGGCTCTACAAATCATTTGTTATAAAAAATAAAATCTTAGATTTGTCTGTGACTGTACTGATTTTTAGCACTAGATGTGTACTTTTGTTGCTGTAGGTAGACAATTTTATTAACTGTATCCATTTAAGCAGGGTGCTAACCATATAGTTTGCAGTATTTGATTCTCCAAAAGTATTATGTATACAAATAGTGTATTTTCTCTTGCATAGCATGGTGTGTTTTAAGTGACGGGTTCTCATATATTGGGCAACATACAATGTTCTTTTCTTTTTCAGCATATTTGTTATAGAATTACTGTTTCTTCAGACTTTGTTCATTGTCCAGTATTTTAAAAACTAGAGATAACATTTTGGAAAATGGATCTGTCCTCAGTTGAGGGAGGAAAGCAAATACTCTGTTGGGTCCCTGACAAAGAAGTTAGCTCTTTCTAAAGGACCCAACAGAGTGTGTGTGTGTGTGTGTGTCCATCATCCAGTATTTTAAAAACTAGAGAACACAACGTTCAGAAAGTGGATCTGTTTCCATCCTCAGATGAGGGGGGGAAACACATGCTCTGTTGGGTCCCTTAGAAAGAGCCAACAGATTCAGTTTTCGAAATGTTGTGTTTTCTATTTTTTAGAATACCGGACATGGACCAAGTTTGAAAACCAGGTAATTCTGAGTGTTATGCACCGTTGTCAGAACCCTTTAGAATCTAAGTTTCTTAAAGCTACTAAGTACTGAAGCTCCATAAAATTCTTGATTATTTGTATTTTATGCTGATACTTCTTCATTATAATCTTTGAATTTGACAATTCCATACAACAAACATGATTCATTAACTTCAGAAATTTCACTCATCTGTTTTCTCCAGATATACAGCAGCTGTAGAACCCATTCCCAGTGTTCAGATTACCTTTTCAGTTGTTTATGGAAAGCTTAGATATTGAATCATTTATCTGCTTTAGTTATGGGAAGGTCTGTATCGTTAAAGACGTATGCATATGTGATGTTACAACAGTCAACTTGCACGAAACATAGAAGTGTCATGTTTTGTGTACCTTTTGCATAACAGTATTTGTCATCTCTAGCCCACTTCTGAGAGATAATTACCTTCTAGATTCAGCAGCATAGTCTGTATTGTGTCTGAGGGTTCAGATGGAGAAGTAATTAAATGGTCTAGTAGTAGTAGTATCATCATTCATTTTATGATGCAGTAGTTTTAGCTTAAAATAATTTAAAACATGTTAATTACAATGTTTCTTTTAATTTTATTTAAAATAATATGTATAAGAATTTGTTGCCCAAAATTTGAGAACCCTGACTTCAAATTAGAATCAAGCTTTTAACAGTAGGATAGGGCTGATGAGGCCTGAACAGATGCAGTGTGTTGTATCTAATAGCAACTGGTACACGTTCTTAGATTTAGGTGGTAGTAGTTTTGAACAGATGATTATACATAGTTGTGAGAAAATAATCAGAATAACTTTTGTTCTCAGATAAGTCACTTTCATTGACCAGTATAGTGATAACTGCATGGTCAGATGAGTGCATGTAAGGGTCTGGTATATATTAAAATAATTTATGTGTTATTGATGATTGTGTTGCAGTTATCTGACAGGAATAGTGGTTTTTAATGTTTGATATGTAAGAATAGTCTGAGTATAGTACTTTGTTAATATTTAATTCGAAATAAAGCATGTTAAATGTTTATATATTAATAGCCTAATTATCCTGTGGAGAAGGAAATTAGAAGTTAAATACCGCTATCCTGAATCACACATATAGTTGTGTATCACTTTAGAATCCTCAGTAAATACAATCTTTTCATTTCCGTCGTCGTACTTATAAGCAACTCAGGGTTCAGATTTTATTCACAGACACTTGTTTAATGAAACTTATGCAAAATTTTAGATCTGGAATTTATTCTGAAGTTCCATTCACTTCGAATTCTTACTGTTCAACATAATTTAGTTACATTAAGTGTTTTTTTTTCTTCATATAAGTGATGACTTATTTGTTCATGCTAGGTATTTTATTTGACAGAGAGTGACTGTTTAAAAAATGTACTTATCTTTATTTACTCGTGTGTGTAATATATATATATATACTCTCTAAATCTGCCAACAGAAACTGATCTTGTGAAGTTGGTAAATTTTCAAAAACAGTTTGTGCTGCTCATATGAGTACTTTATTTTAATTGAATTGTTGTGTAGAACAGTCTGGATGAGCAATTACAGGTAAATAATATATGCCCTGTTAAATACTACATATTTCATTGAAAGTGTACAGTGTACATTTCTTGACTTGTCGAAATTAAAGTATTATTTTAGTGAAATGAATGTATGTATCATGTAGCCTTAGTGCATACGTTAAGTCTGATTAATGATTCTCTCGTTTTTTTAGGGATGACATGGAAATGATGTTAAATAAAATAGTGCCTGAGGTAAGTATACATGACAGTTTGACTGTATTTTGTTCAGTGATACATAATTTAGCTTCAGCTTTATTGCAGATAGGACATGTATGGTTATTTTTTATTTATAGAGGAAGTATGAGTCATACAACACACATTAAGGATGGACCATTTTTGTGTTGAGAAAGTTTTTCAGAAGCTAATAAATATGGAATTTCATGCAGTCACAGACAGGCATTTGCACTAAATGTGGCAATGTGTTATTTGACAACGGGGAATAGGAGTGCGGCAGCAATACTGGTTACAGGTCATTACAAAAAATTATGACTTAAATCTTGCACTCCTGTGTCCTTTAATGTGAATTGTTCATAGGCTGTCAGGAAGATTCTGACTAATAATTTAACTGTGTAACCAAATGTGAAGAACTGTATTTACCCTAACTAATTTTAAAAGAGAATTCCATATTTGACTAGTGTATCCATTAATAATAATATTACAACAAAACTTCAGTATGCAAAATAATTCAAAACTTTAAGATTTTATGTAACAATGCAGTTGTGATAAATTATAAACAAGCATTTGGATGAATTTGATTATGTTTTTAAAGTATTGTAGCTGCAGCCAGCACACAAAGTTGAACATTTGTTGACTTCCACAAAGTCAAATTGTTTATGTTTTTATGTTCAGAAAAGTTGCAGTAAATTTTTCTGTGTCCTAGGCAGTACCATACAGTGGAATAAAATTCCTCCTCTCACACTTAATGTAATGAAATGTAGTTTATAGAGTGCAACATAAATTAACTGATCTGAGAGTATCAAGAAATAATGAATTTACGAAGTGGTTCAAATATGACTGGTACTGATTTGTGTGTAAACAAGCTGCACTGCGCAACAGTTGTGTGACTTGGAGAGAGTGAAGCCACAACCTTCAACCTCCCTCCTGTTCAGTCCTGTCTGGGAATTGCTAGAGTGATGAGTGAACAGAAGGTACCACGGAGTGCAGGAACAACGCATTGTGATCATATTCCTCGGAGAAAACTGAAATTCACCAGAGACTCCAACAACAGTATGGGGAAGAGTGTCTCTCACGGACCCGTGTGTTTGAGTGGTGTAAGTGCTTCAGAGAGGGCAGAGAGTGCGTGGAGAATGAACCGCATGATCATCGGCTGCAAACATCCGTCACCAAGCCAAACATTGATCGTGCAGACGCGCTTATTCGTGAGAATAGGCACATCACTATCAAGGAACTTGGAACAATGCTGTCCATCAGTGTTGGTAGTGTAGAAGACATCATGAAATACCACCTGCACTATTGCAAGGTGAATGCACGGTAGGTACCATGCACTTTGACAGACGTGAACAAAATGGTGCACATGCAAGCTGCCAGTCATCTCCTACAGCAGTTTGAAGACGAAGGTGACACATTCTTTAAGTCTGTAGTGACCACCGATGAAACGTGGGTGCACTACTTCATTCCCGAGTCCCAGCAGTCATCATGCAAGTGGCAGCATACCAATTATCCCAAATCCAAGAGAGCGCAGAGGAGCCGTTCGGCAGGAAAAGTGATGGCAACTTTCTTCTGGGACTGGCAGGGGTTTATCCATGTGTACTTTCTGACAGATGCCAGAACAGTCAATGCAGCTTATTACTTAGATCTCCTGGCAACAGATGTGAAAGAAAAGATCCGATCCAAGCGGAAGACAAGTGGAAAGCGGGTAGCCTTCCTTCAAGACAATGCTTCTGGAACGTCAGAAAAAATGTGTTGACTCTGGAGGGGAGCACATTGAAGACTGACATGTGCAAGTAAGGTTTTTAAAAAAATCAGTCCCAGTCATATTTGAACCACCTTGTACATAACATGTCGAGGAATAAGAAGATCTGTTCCCTTTAGACTGGTACAACCATTATTGCTAAAAATCATTTAAGAAATATGTTAATTACAGAAACATGTTTTGATGCCGTTCCATAACTTTTAAAAATGAGCAAGTGTAGTCTGGGAGATAATTGAAGGTTTGATAATAAGTTTGTTTGTAATGACTTACATTTTAATTTCATTTGCTTGGTAGTGAGCTTCATCTTCTGTCTTGGTCAGTTTTAAATTAATGGTCCATGAGACTGAAAGCCAGTTACACAAAGTTTAGATTCCTGTATTTGTGCAACTCCATACATGAAGTCACATTTCTTATTAATGAAAACATTGCTTTGTATATTCCTAGTTGTAATGGAGCCACAGAAAGCTATCCTATAATTCATTACCATTGCACAATTAACATGACCCTAACAAGGCTGAAGTTATCTCTTAACTTCTCTTTGGGTAGGATTTCTCCTAAAAGGGTGATTTTCTTTTTGTGCATGAATAGGCTAAGGTGATGTTTATTACTTTTGGAATGTTTGGTATTAATTAAAATACTAACGTGCAGCTGGGGAATGAAGACCACTGGTTTCATTCAGGAAGATTGAACCTGAAGATTAGACATTCATTTTGATGTTTTGTGGTAACATGATGTTTTCCAGCATTTTTCATGAACATCACAGTTTATTTGTTATCACTTCATATGTAGGAGGGGAGGCACTGGATTTAGTTTGTTCCACTTCCATCTCATTGTAATCATTCATAGTTATCCCCCATTTTATGCTTATTCTTTTGACCATTTCATTTACATTACTGCTGTGTGATGCTCTCAGAACTTTTCCTTCTGGATATTTAAATTTTAAACGAAGTTTTGCTACATTTTACCATGTTAGAAGGTACAGGGTCCATTTGCACGTAATTTGACCACATTCTACTACGTAAGGATTTCAAACGGACATGTACAGTAAAAAAAGTGTCATTAAGTAAATCAGGAGATGTTTCAGAAGCTTCTTTATAGTTATCTAAGTTTGTTCACTTGCATCTTGAAACAAATGTATGAACCAGCAAATAAATGTATATTCTTCAATTTCAGGGACTGCCTTATAGACACTCCTGTGAAGGACCTGATGACATGGTAAGTAAAGTTATTTTATAGGTTAGATATAAAGACTCATCAGTTGAAATTCTGGGAATAAGAGAAACCTAACTTTAAAACTATTTCCTTGAAATTCCCATGGGAGATGCTGAAGTGATAGCAGAAATGATAAAAGCAGTCAGACCAATAGAAATGCAGTGACTGTATAAAATTATGAGAAAGGTTTGGAAAGCACATGAGAGACCACATAACTCAAAGAAGAAAATGATAGTACCAATATATAAGAAAGGAGACAAAAACTGCCATAATTGCAGAGGAATAACACTTCTCTATCACTGTTACAAAATGTATTAAAGAACTTTAACTGATAAAATACAAAAGATTATGAAAGCAACACTTATTGGGCAACAATATGCATATTCTAATTAGATTTGACCTATACAGTGAGATAAATAATGGAGAAATGTTAGAAATGTGGTAATTGTGTTCATGGATTTTAAGAAAAGCATGTGGCAGTAAAAACAGAAAATTGATTTTTAGTATCACAAATATCACAATTCAAGGATTTTCAGAGAGAAGATTTTGTCTTCCAATACAGCAGTGAAAGTAGCAAGGGAAATGCAGAGGGAATTCACATATTCACATGTTCCTAAAGGGAAGTAAAATCAGTAATATGCAGTATTATGTGTTACCACTATGCTTTAAGGGGTTAGCATCTCATAATTCAGATTGTTGAAATACCATTGGTGAAAGTGGCACAAGTATTGGTAAAGCATTTGGTAATATCTGAATATTTGTATAACAAAGATTTCAGATTTGGAATTAGTTTCCATGTCGTTGACTACACTATGCTATGGTTGTGGACAGTGTAAATTATAGCGCTGTTATTATGTCATTCTTTGTTTCAGCCGGCTCATGTGAAGGCCTGTTTCCTCGGCTCTTCTCTCACAATTCCTGTCACAGATGGAAAACTAAATCTTGGCACCTGGCAGGGCATCTGGCTCTGTGAACATCGGGACCATGCTGGGTCACGCAAGGTTGTTATCACAATTAGTGGTTGCCTCAGAGACTCTAGTCGGAGCCCACTGAGTCCAGTGTCACCAATGGCCTCTACTAGTAGTTAAGGGTTTAATACATTCACTACTGTGTCCGCTACTTAACAGCATTTCTGGCTGTTTAGTTAAAATGGGGTAATAGTATTGAAGTATGGGGTGCAGTCCTTCTGGCAAGGAGTATGTAGAATAAAAAAAAGCAACGATGTTTTATTCAGTCTGGGATAAGTTGGGTTGAGTTGGAGAATAATGCATTGCCCCATTGTGGTAAAAGGGTAATAGTCTAACACACACATTCTTACTGTATATACACACAAACCAAGCTAGTGGTTTGTTGCCAGGTGACAAAGAAGTATCGCGAGTGAAAGGTACTTGGGAGGTCTGAGCTTTTTCCTCGTGATATGAGCGTATGCCACTGAACTATCAAGAGAAGATGAGAAGAGGAAGCGTTTTTAACTTACTAAATGGGTTCTGTTTCTTGCTAAGCAAGAGACTTAACCAGTAGCTGGGAAAGGAATCATCAAAGATTTGGCCTTTCACTGCCACCGCATAAGATGTATACTTTATTTTGTGAAACACAAATAATAAAACGTATGTACTGTATTTGGCGTACCACTGTATGATGAGAAAGCAGTTATGTATGTTAGGATCCTTCCACATATTTGCAAAAAAACAAAGAAAACAAATACCAAACAAAATATTTCAGTACTTATATTATGAGGTACCAAGTACTGAAAAGATTATTACTTATGATTACAGTCTACATTAATTTCCATCCTTGTATCACTATGCCACAACAGGGAATTTCTGTTAAGATTTCCATCAAATAAGTTGTCTTTTATTGTAATGTATTTTTACTCACTGTGCAAATTTTAATAGACTGTTGCTAGAGAATGTTCTGTATTGCCAAGGTTCATTTTGTGTTTGATTTGCTGCAAGCTTGAAATGAATGAAGATGGAGAATTCCTTTGTACCTGATACTTTAATCCCAATGATGATTGTAGGAATTTTGTAACATTTTTCCTTACCAGATTGTTGTTGACTTCAGGAAACAATCACATACTCTTTTTCTGACAGAGATGTAGTATATCCCAAACAGAGTGGCGAATGTGCTGCTGAAATTTGTGGTATGCCACTTTAGTTAGAAGAAGCACATACAGACACAGTAGCTATCACAAACCTTCCATTACACTGAACCTTTTGTGGCATGCAAATGGCAACAGAATTTTCATAATAAAAGCTGTAATTGAATTAATTATTGCTCAGGAGCTGATATGGGTTTATCTTGATGCCTCAAGAGAAATATTTTTGCTTTTTGGGGTCTCTTCTTGAAGTTAAAGTCTAGTGATTTTGTCCTGTATGATAATTACTTTTGTTTTGAGGTGAAGAATAATCTTTGTAGTCACCATGTAGGGGTCTTCCACATTGTATAGGACTTATATGATATTCATGTTCCATAATATCTGGGTCTGGAGTGCAGATGCATTGTATTTGTGCGATCTGGTCCTTTGCTTTTTGCTGACAGGTATTTGCATTTCACACGACCCACTCCAGTAGTTGTAGCTGTGAAAGAAACATTTATAAAATAAGCCATAAGTAGTCACAAGAAGAAATTCTACCTCAATTTATAATATAATTTTACTTCACTGTATGTATATCACAAGTACCATTTTATTTCCTTATGCTATATACAGTTCTCAAAATGGTAAATGGCAGGTGGGAACAAAAGAAATTGTGTGTTAATGTTAGTTGCTGATGTAACTGACTGAGCATTCCATTTATATTGTATATGTTGCAAGAAGCGTTACACCATAAACAGCATGTAGTATATCTTTCATTATCCTTCTTAGCGTCCTAGGAAGATTAGATATTCACTGCTTTTTTTCGTTTTGAACTCTTGCTATGTGTAAAAAAACATCTGGGTTCATTGTGTTGATATCTCCTGATTTGTTGAGATAATCTTATGGATACATTCTAAATTACAGAAATGTTTGTACTAAACACAAATTTTTGAGCCCTGTCTTTGTAAATTATTGTATGTTAAATATTTTCAGTATTATCTTGAGACATCAAGATTGTACATTCCAGGTTTTAGGGAAAATATTTTGATGTAGTCCATCAAATGTAAGGTATGACATAATTGCTATAGGATGACATACATATACAGTAATTTTAATTTATCTTTCACTGAATTGAACCATGTTTTATGAAATTACATTTTCCTTTCACTGATTGACTGTAATGTTCTCTGCTGATATCTGAAATTGCTGACTACCGAAACACTACATTTTGTGGCGAGAATGGCTGGCCTATCATTAGCAGCCATAGAACAAGTGAGAGTCTCAACTGCACAAGGTTAGGACAGTAGAGATTAATTACTTATTGACATAATAATTATTTTTCTACAGACTGCTGAAATTACAAGGTAAAAGTAGCTAATAGCATCTGTATGCACACTACAACAATGTGTATATTTTTGTATTGGAACCTTTTAATATAATTGAAGCCAAAATTATTTCTGGGACACTTTAGCTGTTCTTGAATGCCTAAATGAAAGTACACATTAATTTGTTAAATATTCATTACATTGAAAACTCATTAAGAAATTTGTTGCAGTTGAGAAATGTTTAGTGTTCTATACCATTCATGAGAAAATACAATCAAATCCTGCCATTATTTTAAATGACTAAACTTTCTGGATCCATCTGTTGGCAGCAATATGATGAAATTCTTCTGAATTGTGCCACATAACAGATTCCACTGTCCCTCTGTTTCCTTGCCTCTCTGCAGGAATGGAGGTAATGTGTTGGCAAGATATCTTGCTATCATGTTAACTGTCTTCACAGATGCTCCCTTGAGTTCTCCCTATACTGACAGAATATACCTCTGGCAGTGTTTTGTTGCTGACAATAATATATAACACTTTTTTAGTCAAAAGAATTACTCGCTGTATGAACAAGCCCAATTGATATCTCTGTTTCTATGAGATTGAATATTTATAATATTTGTATTAGGTTTGGCTGTGTTTGTAGATGTCATAATATACGTTGAAGATCAAACATTGAGTTTTATATTCAAGGTGAAAGGTCTAATATGTTTGTAAAAGATAGTAATAGTTACAGTATGATTTTGGTTTTATGGTTTTGGTTATAAGTTGCTACTCTAGTTGTTTTCTGATGTTCAGGAATAATAATTTTCGGTTGTGGTTCATTCTGGTATAACAGATTGTTCTTATACTACAAAGTACAGGAATAATGTAATTCAGCAGTGCCCAGGCTCCACTGCCAGTAAATTAACATGGGAAATATCCATCTAATTTTATTCTGATCTTTGTGGGTTCCTCGTGTAATTAGACAGTATCTGTTGGATGTACATTCCTATTTTCTGCATAACTGTTTGTTGCTTTATTTTATCGTAATTGTTATCCTATAGCAGTTTTAGTCAATATATATATGCCACTTTCTTTGCAGGGATTGCTTCTCAACTTAGTGGTGATTTTAAAATTTGCACTTGTTATTATGTTCTTTCAACTGTCAAGTTGGTCAGTCATGCAGTATCCTGTTACCCAGAGTATATATCCCCTCTGTATACAGTATTCACAATTTCTTGAGTTTTAAAGGAAAGATATAATTAAGAGTGAGGTGTTCAGAATAAGATGTGACTGCTGTGTAGAAAGGTTATGTAAAAGATATTATCTTCGGAGTTTCTAAGGGATATTTTTTGTGTGTGGTGTAGGAATGGTGTTTCTTTACATGATCTGGCAGTATGATAGTCGTGGCCTTAAAAAGAAGAAGTCCAATTTTGTATTTGTTTGAAAACAATTTTAATATAAACCATAATCACTATAACAGGCCAGTAGGTCCATTGACCCTCTGCTTGAAGCTGTTACAGCAGTGCTGATATCTGTGCAGCTCTTGTGACATTAATAGAGCTACTTAAAATTTCTTCCTGCCATGACTGTTAGAATAATATGATGAGAGACTTTATACAAACCTTTTATGGTTTACTGCATTACTTTCCATCACCTTTCAGTGGTTCACAGATTGGGACAATAAAGTGGTAATAATTACATTATAAAGAGACTTTTATATTAAATATGCTAAGGAAGTCAGACAGGCATAGAAGGAAACTGGCATATGTACATAATGTGATGGTGGATAATAATGCACAACAGAATTATTGGCAAAAGTCCAAAATTTCTGTTGAAGGTAGACACCTGTTAACGTATGCTGTGCAGGTCAGGTGTTGTTATGTCAGATCCCTTGTATTATTGAAGGGAGCATGAAGAATTGGTGGAAGTAATTTGTGTGGTTATAACCCAGTTTCTGATATTTTGATCGGGGTGAACATACAGAAACACATTTTTTTTTTTACTTTTTTTTTTATTTCCTCAGAACTGGACTTCACATTGCGCACATTATCTCAGTTTTAACACTATTATTTAATTATGGGTAGCCAGAAACTTGGAAAAAATAATATATGCCAATGTTATGGATGATGTGTAATGGAGATGGTCCCATTTTGTTTTTCATATTTCCTGTCTTAAAGCAACTTTGCGTATTTGTTAACTCATGCACTACTTGTATGCTGTGTCAGTGCAGCATGGCTGTTATCAGTTTGTATTCAAGTTTAATGCTCAGTGGATTTCATTGCTTTTTATAACAGCTGAGAACACCACAGTTGTCATACAATTTTATACACAGTACACTTCAAGCTAATGCCATCTAGTAATTGGTTTTACCTACTTCCACGACAACATATAATTCAATATAATCTTCAGGCCTATACACAGGCTGTTCCATAGCAAAGCTCGTGTCTTGTAGTGAGTGAACAGCTCGACATACTTTGGTTGATGTGGACCATTTAAGTGTCTGCAGTAATACCAATTTATCCTGGGGGGGTGGATTCAGATGGATGTTATATTTTTAGTCTCATTGTAAAACAAAAATTATTCATCAGTTTGTGTTCAATAAGATAGTTCCTTGGAAGTTCAGACAATAACATTTTCATGATATCTGTTGGTGACAACTTGAAATACAAAGGCCAGCTTATTTGAAAAGTGCTGTCACAAGTCTGTTTTGATAGTCAAGATGGGCACCATCTTGACTATGAGTCATTTTTTACACATTCAGGGGATTAGCTTTTCATTATTTGTAATAAAGACAATCTTTTGATGCCAGTTTTAGAGTATTGTTAGTGTTTTAATTGTTTCTTGTGTCAGTGTGCAGACATACGAGTACTGTTGTGCACAAGATTAAATTTTGAATTTGTAGTCACAGATTGAACCTAAGAAAGAATGATAAAGAGAACTGAGTTGCTACTTACAGAGGGAGCACTCTTATTCCTTTGTATAGACTGTTTTACTCATCTTCTGTCCAAATCACTGTTAGTTGCCATTTATACATTCAGTATTTTAATGTAATAAATTAAAAGCACATATGTGTAGTTTTCTGACCATATGAAACTTGACACAATAAGGAACACAAGTACACTGAAGAAAGCAGTCATCTGGGATGTGGCACCATGTAGATGTGGTGTTAACCGATGTTTCGGAGGAACGTATAACCTCCATCTTCAGGGTAGAAGGAAAAATAAGAAAATCCGCAAGCAAAGAGATAGTGAGAACAGGCGCAAGCAGTCTGTCTGTGCACCTGTTCTCACTGTCTCTTCGCTTGCGGATTTTCTTATTTTTCCTTCTACCCTGAAGATGGAGGTGATACGTTCCTCCGAAACGTCGGTTAACGCAACATCTAGACGGTGCCACATCCCAGTAGACTGCTTTCTTCATAGTCACTGCCGTGAAAACCTCAAATCTTACAAAATTCCATTTTAAGGCCCTACAGTATGCAGCCTTATTAATATGTCAATATGCAAATAATAATGTATATAATTCAGTTTAACCTTTCTTCATATAAAGACTCTATATGTCCTTCAAAAAAGCTAGAGGTAAATGATATAAAATTACACTTACGCATTGTTTTGTATAGATATGCAGCTCTCTCGTTTACTCAGTGGGAAGTAGAAATATTGAGAATATTGAACCTAAGAGAGATTAATTAATTCATTGCTGTACCATTTAAGTTCACTGTATACTGATACTATTGGACCAGTTATTTAAATGCTTTAAAATTGTAGCTGGTCACATAATTGTATTTCAGAACTGTATTTTTTATGGTCTTAGCTGTGGTTGTGTCATAGTAATAAGATATAGGTCCCCCCCCCCCAAGTAATTTCACTTTATGCCCTTCACATTATCTAGGAACATTTACTACTTTTATACTCCATCTCCATTATGTGTCTGTTTTAAGAGCATGTAGCTAAGGTTTTAATCTATTAATTTAACATGATCACCAGAACAGTAACAGTCAGTAGTTCCTCTCTCAAACACTTAAGCTCGATAGGCTGTTACCTGCTTGCCTTATGTTTTTTATTGCTTTTCCTTCAACATAGTAGATGTATGTTCTGGATAACTTATTAAGTAAGCAGTAAGCACTGATGTCAAGGGAATTTTGTGAGAAGTAGTCCTGTGAGGCTAAAACTTAGTGTTGTGCAGGCATTTGCTAATGTGACACGCCTGCAGAGCACAAGAATTGAAGATTGAAATTATGTTGCCATGATCTTGTTTATAATGGTCTTCTGTATCTTTTAATTGGTACACTGGAATGGTCTTGTTTGTACAGTGATGGGGTGGTTGCCCATCTCTGGCAGCATTCCTTTTTTGTGCAGTGTCCATACTGGCTGTGGGTCCCATTCAGCCTCCTATTTAGTGGGTACTGTGGGTCATTTCCCTGGTGATAGTGCAGCTACAGCATGAACCTGACTACTCAGCTCCAACTAATGCCAAGGTTAAGGATGCATGGAGCTGTACATCCAGCCAACCAAACATCTTTATGGCATGATGTTTAACTAATTAAGCACAGAGACAGTTGTACTGTACAACACCAATGTTTGTAGGAAGGTAGGATTGTATAACCAAATAACTGGGACTCAGGACACTGCTCTTTATATTTATAAGGATGCAGTACAATTTAGCATATGAAACACATTTGTGGTATTAGATTTTCTAATTATAACTTTACAGAGCCCCATTCGAAACTTTCACCATTTGGAAAACCATGTTACTTTCCCTTCCCCCCCCCCCATAATTTAGGCAGTTCTTAATTGACTACATCTGCTGTGCTCTGTGGAAAATGTTAAATTCCTCTCACCTCCTCCCAAATGTTCTCTAATTCACAGCCATATATGGATTTAAGAGGCCTCATGCTTTATTGTATATGAGCACAGGGCTAGAAAAGGTAGAAAGCATAGATTAAATCTTTGCACATAATTGTGTAGTTCATAATTCATACATCTGCATTGTAAAACTTTTCATAGACGGTGACTGTATCACCAGATTTTTACCAAAATGAAGCAGAATTTATAATCAACAATATATAGTGATATTGGTTTGAGGTTTCACCACCAGATGTCTGTATAATACATATAAGTATTGTAGGAAACTGTAGTAGAGCAAAGAAATAATTTTCATCTGGATGAAGTGTAGCATATTGACCTGAGTGGGCAGAACAGCCTCCAGAGTTTCTTTAAGGCACTTAGACCATTACTTAACTGGGTCCATTGTGCATCCCCAATGTTGTTTGGTCCCTTCAAGAAGTCTTTATGATATTGCTAGATCCAGATCTTTCCAGCTTGAGGCCCTCTTAGTGTCCTTTGGCTCTACCCTTGCAAAGCCAAATATCTTCATTCTATGTCCTTTCAAACTTGGGCTTTCACATAGTATTCACTTTCTTTGGATAACTGATGGCAGAATGCAGACTGTCACTCTGTGTTGTTCACTGACAGGGACAGTAGAGCATTCACCACTGGTCCCAGATAGGCCAACAACCAAGATTTGGACCAAGCCCTCACTTTCTTTGGTAAGAAGCTTCGTCTTCCTGGCAAGCTTTTCCTACTCTCCAGTCTATTTCTTCTGGGTGGTCAGACTGCCCACTTCATGAAACAGACCACCTTCAGTCTTGCTGTCTCTTTGACTTTCACAAGAGGCCCCGAGAGTTTTTGGCTGCTTCACAGCATGTGGGACCCAACATTTGAACTCTGCAATCCAGAAGGAGAAATACTTCTCTCAGACTACTGACAGTGGGCTATCAACAGCAACCATCTTGAGAATGCCAGGGTCAGCAGAACTCTCATTATTGGTCCCAGTTGGGCCAGGAAGCAAGCTCCAGCAAAGACCTCACCTTCCTTGAGGAGATACTCTGTCTTCCTGGCTTCTTCATAGCCAGTCTAATTCTTGTTCTTGATTATAACGGTGTTCTCCCCCATCAGGAGACCTTTTTCAGTCTATCCATATGGACCCCTCACCAGAGGCCTGTGAGATATGGACTACTTCTCCATGGCAACAGAGCCTTCAGTGTAGGGAATGAACATTCCCCACTTTCCAGAGCCCTGTGAGATATGGGCTGCTTCTCCATGACAACAAAACCTTCAGTACAGGGAATGAACATTCCCCACTTTGACTACCAATGTTGTACCTCCAACCACCCTTTGTCATTATCGATAGGAACAAGAAATCTTCTACCACGTTCCTATTTGGACCAGCTGAGCCTTCATTTTCTTGGAGAAGAGCTCACCGCTCCCAGGTCTCCTCCTCTTGCTAGCTTGTCTGATCCTTCTTGGCGATGTTGCTCACCTCCATCAAGAGAACTTTTTCAGTCTCTGTCCCTGTGGATCTCTCATCAGAGTTCCTCATGGCTATTGACTGCTGGAGGTATCTCCAGCTGCTTTCTGTCTTTTACCAGTAGGGACAGCAGAGTCCCATCTGTGCCCACTGTGCCCATATCCATAGCTGAGGTATCAGCTCCCCCAGAGAGAAACCCCCTTCCAATCCTGCCTGCTCTGCTAGTTTGTCCAATTCATCCTGGTGGTCAAGTTACTCACCTGCATCAAGAGACCTCTTTCACTCACCCTCAGTGAACTGTCAACAGTTGCAGCTTGATGATGCTATACCCTTCATGCAATTCATGTGTTGTTAGTAAAAAGGTCGGTTGTGCTAATGGATGTGAAGGGATTAACCATGTAATATTTGAGGTTATAATTATATCTGTAATATTATGACTTCTGTTATAATTCACTAGTGTTACTGTGTGATCATGTTTACAAGATTATACCAAATATCTTATCAGCAAATGGTACATAGTAACTATTGTATTTGGGACTTGACTATGATCTTTGATTTAAACTTGTGTTAGTATCAATTTTCTGATAGAATACATTTTTAGATTGCATCTTTAAAACAACCTATGAATAATTTTATTTTATGAGTTAAGCCATGTTTAATTTTGTGCATCTTGATACTGATATAAAGTGTGCAAGTTAGAAAATCTAATTAGAAAAAGGAAACTTAGGGACACAGTGATGAAGCTTTATTGTCCTATTGGGTATGATATATGAATCCACAATCACTAGAGTATGAGGTGTATCAGGATATAGAGCAAATGATAATGTTCTGATCTGAGGAATAAAGTGTGAATGTTATGAATGTTATGAATGTTATTGTGCATTGTACAATGAGATCTGTTTCTGCATGAATGCTGTTTAGTTATATTTTGATTGCGGCTTCATGTGAAGGATTTCAGGTCACTGGCACTTGTTCTAAAATGTGTTGGCACACAAAGAGTTTATTTGGTAGTATTTTTGTTAATTATGGACTGCATGTAAGTCATTTAAATCAAGTTAGGTGGCATAGTAGTTCTGTAATGCAGGGTTCTTCATTATGGTATATTTGTGAATTTACTATATTTTGTTTCTACAAATACTATTAATACAAATATATTTCTAAATATTATTCCTGCATGGTGTAAATCAGCTCAAATTATATTGAAAGTGGCAGGAGAATCTTTGAACAAACCACCAGTGCATTGCTAATGTTATTTGTTTAAATGGATTTATAAATTAATTAAAAGAAAACAATGGAAGAAAGGTGGCTAGAATAACGAGTTATAAAAATTAAAGGAAAGCTGGATGACTGAACCATGGTAGACTTCTTCAGGTTGAGAAATATATGGTGTGGATGAAAAATTGTTTCATTTCTCATATTTGTGTTTATAATATTTGTACTTCATTCCGTGGAGATAATATTCTAATACACACATAAAATTGCTTTTTAGTATGTTAAAATGTTGCAGTGTCTTCCATTTTGCTCCCTCCATAAAAATTCTGGATTTTGGAGTTGACAGTTACTTTCCAGACAAGGTTTTGGTTTCTTATCCTTTCTTTAAACCATTAATTCAAAATAAGGTTAAATCTGTTCTTGCCGTGTGATTTGTTTCTTTGGAGTTAAATTATGAAGACTGCATATATTTATACCAGTTTAACAGGTGGGTGGAGAAATATGCAATATGTACACAGGAAGCATAGCTTCTGAAAGAAGGATGAGGTAAGTGATCTGTAATGACTTTTATTACTGCTGCTGCTACCAGCACCACTGCATCATCATCATCATCATCATCATCATCATCATTTACTTTGCAGATGATCACTGTGTTTGATGTATGCTATAATTAAACATCTGTAAAGACTCATTTTCTTAATTGCAGTCCACAGAGTATTTCAGTGTAAGGATCCACTGTCTTCAGGTGAACATGTGTAGCTATTTATTTCAGTCATTTGTAGGGTGGAGTATAGCAGTAACATAAATTATGATAAAAAAAATAACCCAGATAATTCTTCCTTGAAGCAGAGTGAATGATGTTATAGCTGAACTACATGGTTGACCGTGAGGTGGTCACTTGGAAGTGGTCTGGCAAAGGTACTACTGATTCCAGGCAAGAAACGATGTTGAGAAGTGGTGCCAGGAGCACAACACCCGTGTAGCTAGTCGGGGCCCCTGATCCAGGAATGGGGCAAATGCATCAGTACAAGCAGTACCACTATACCATAGCGACAGCATCAAGGCAGGGGCAGCTCGCACACATACCATTCATAAGTACAACCTAACATATATCACTGTATATTGAGCTTAAGCTCTGTAAGACATTACCAAGGTCAAGGCTACATGATCCATCCTATTGAGAAGATTCCGTTATGCAGATTCCCCACCCTGTCGTCGCTTCTTACGGCTTAAAACCCAGGCCTATACATAGCGGTCACAGAGTGTTACCAACAAAACACTATTTTAAACATATTTTAATTTTCATGTCTTAATCTTTGTTCTCTTGTTTTAATGCTTTAATTTCTTATCTTTACTTTTGTAATTTTAAATACAGTTTTTATCTAAGGGTTTTGGTTCAAATTTTCGTCAAATATTTTGTTATACATTTACTCTTAAATTTAATTTCAAGCTACAATAAGGATCCTTATTCAATGATTAAAATGATAATTGATTGCAACTCAACAGCTCAGGCTGGTACATTGTACACCTGATGATGTCCAACGAAAGGATCGAAACATGTTGTCTCTCTAATAAACATAATAAAAGCAAATGTTGATGCAGTAGTGTCTTATTTCTTTTGAATACTGAATGTTGTTGTGTAGGCAGTATTATATATCTCGTCAGTACAACATCAGAGCCCCGTTAGAATGGATAGCCATTGATGTAGCAGGGCCCCTTCCGCCAAGCGATCAAAGAAACCAATGGCTCCTGAACACTATGGGCTATTTTACTAAGTAGCTGGAAGCCTACACCATTCCCAGTCAAGAGGATTCGATGGCGACTTAAGCACTGCTTACCACTTATACTCGCAGTTGGATGGCATGGTGGAACACTACATCTAAACGGTTGACCAGCACCTACAGAAAGCCTTCAGGTCACACTAAAGGGATTGGGACACAAGATTACTCATCTTCCTCCTTGCTTACAGCGCATCCACATGCAAGACTGCAGGCCTGACCTTGGCTAGCCTAGTGTTTGGAAGAGAACTCCGACTGCCCTGCGACCTTCTCTTTGTGGCACCCCACCTCCCCAACAAGGAACAAAAATGCAGATGGTTGGGCTAATAGAAATTTCAGTTCAACATGAATTGGCTTGGAGACTGGAATTCAGAGAACTAACATATGATTTTGCTGTCCTCTAAAGTATAATTGTATGCTGTAAGTACTGCACATTTTGGGAGCCTGGGGTGCTGCTCCACTTTCCCTGCCCTAGGGACTACATTAGTAGCTCAACATTTCTTCAGGACTGTCTTCACATTTATGTGTAATTTTGCATGTCCCGTATTCTTATATTATTATTGCTGAATTATTCAAATGATTTATACCAAACCGAGCTAAACTTCTTGAATCTTTTGTACAGGTTTTGAGAATCTTGTTTTAAACATGAAACCGAGTCCCACAAATGGAAAGAATGGAATTCAAGCCACATATTTGTAAAACCCTGAAAATGAGTTAATTTTTAACTTTTATCAGAGGATTCTTCTCTGCCCTTCAGAAACAAACTGGATCTCTAATGTACAGATTGCAAATTGCAGCTAATTTTTGCCATGTACTTTATTTATAATTTATTGTTACAACTTCAGTATATTGAAATGAAATAAAATATCCCACACTGATTTACTTTATTAAAGGCATAAAACATTCATACTTATTGTTATTACAGATATCCTCTAAAATACCAGTGGTGTGTGGACTGGGAGTCTATATAGAATCACATAATCAACTAGAGCTGTGTATTGTGTTATTTTCTATGTATGATTTTGAACTTATGTGAGTAATAACCAGTTCAGAAACAAAATTGAAAATAATTTTGTTTTAAATTAATTATATTTTTGTATCATGGTGGTGCCTAAAGAAAAGAGTAAATATCCTCTTCCCCCCTTTTACAATAAATATTCCTCTTCTTTTTTTACAGCCATTGTTGAATATTTAAATGTTATTAAAATGATTGATACTAGGTAGAAGTAGCATATTTTTGAGAGATCATATCTGTATTTTCACTGCTGTGTTCATGTACTTGAGAAACAATTGAAACAGCATCCTTTGCACCATGCACAGAAGTTCACTCCAACTGACTGAGATATCTCTTGTCACTCACACCTTTGTTTTGCAAAAGTTTGTCTTCAGAACAAATACTGAAGTTACCACTTTACTTCAGGTGAACTTTTCATTATTAAATTAGAATAAATAGATACTGCTTAGTGTAATAGCTACACACATCTCATGACATGTTTGTGTTTGCCAGCACACTCATGTCCTCATTAAGGTACTTGATTCTAGAAGAACCAAAACTGACATGAAAATATTCTGATATCGGTAATTAGTAAGAACATGTAACACATTAGACATTTCCTTTCAGTGAAATTTCCAGTTCAAACCACTACTGAGTCTTCACACTGAGTGGTGATACTTGGTTCCCTTCATCTGCTTCTGGTAAGACTGATGAAGGAGCCTCCAGGCTGTCTAGAATTGGGATGATTCCAGTCTTCCCAAACTTTTTAACTTTTTTCTGAACAGAGATAAAAGCATGGCGTATATTATCAAGAGCTGATCCCAGATCTGATTTAATGGAATTGAATTCTTGTGTGACCAGAGAGAGACGTCCAAGTAGGTAATTGAGATTGGAGTCCATTTCTGCCATGAGACCAGTTATTTGGCTGACTTTTCCACCCATACTGCCCATTGTCTCCAAACTACCATTTACATAAGTCTCAGTCTGCTGCTGAAGTCGGTCAAGTGCTCCAGCTGATGCAGTCAACTGCTGGTACATTATTCCTATTTGACGCCATACTTGGCTAATTTCAGTCTCAATTTTTGATGTCAGATTTGTTAGAGCACCAGTCTGGTTGTCAACAATGGTAGATGAGAGACTATCAAAACGGCGGTTCACTGTAGCATTAAGTTCTTTGGCATGAAGTTTGACCAGATCACCAACTTCTAGAAGGATCTGATGGACACCATACTCAATCCGTCGCTTTGTGTCCATTACATTATCTGCAGTCTGAATCAGAACACTTTCTACCTCACCTGATCTTCTTACTTCCTTTAACAGTTCTTCATAACTTCGTGATATATCTCCATATACTCCCTCTGCAATTACACCAGTGTCTGTAACAGTTTTAAGTATCTCCTCTTGTCCATGGCCTAGCACAGACTGTGCTTCAGACAGCTTTGATTCCAGTTTGGCAATTCCTTTATCAGTCCCTGCAAGCACTTCATAACGAATTTCCTGTAACAAGTCATTAGTGGAGTTAGTTATCTCCGTTATTTCAGTTAGGCTTGGTAATGTGTTCAGCTGATTTGTTGCTTCCTCTGTAAATTTCTTTAAATCTTGTAATATTTTTTGATGTTCTTCAAGTGTAATTAAGAAGCCAGTATGCCAGTCTTGTGAATTCAGTGTCTGGATGGAACCAGTTTTTCCTTGCAGCTCTGTCAATTTAGCTTCATAGTGGCTTAGTACACGTTCTGTGTTTGCTGCAGAATTTGCTATAGTTTCAGAAGCCAGTTTGAGGGCCTCACTATCTTCTGGTTTATCACTAACTTTACGCATATAAGCTTCTAGATGACCTACATTAGTCACTAAATGTTCAATACGAGCTCTGAGTTCAGGTCCTGCAGTTTGACCTCCATCATGATTATCCAAGGTATCTATCTTTTCACCTATGTTCTTCATCCATGTCTGCAGGGAGTTCTGGATGTTCTCCATGGCATCTGTGGTTTTCTGCAGTTGGATACGTTCTCTCTCATCCCTCTGAAACACAGGAATTATATATACAGCTATAACACAATCATCAGAGTTCTCAGTTACTTTCATAATGAAATCAAAGGCTTCCTTAGTTTTTAAGATAGCAGCCTTCTGATACCATGATGTCATGTAGTTTCATAGGTGCTTACCACTCTACCCAGAAGTTGGAGACATCATGTTCTTCTAAAATATCAGTAATCATGTACAAAATCCATGATACCATGACCCAAAACACCAATTTCTTAATCTTTACTCTCATAACATCTAATCTTCACATTTCACTTTAATTCCAATAGTATTTTTAAACACCCATCCTTAATTTTCATACAAAGTGTTTGATTCTTTCAGCTTTCTAATAATGCAAACAAACAGTACTACCATACATTACTGAAATCTGGGCATCAAAATGTCACATAAAACTCTTTATGATAATCTGCACAACATTAAGGAATGTTTCACAGTAATGTGTTGTTACCTGGCTGTGTCCATCTGTTGGCCATCCAAATGTAATAACTTAGACTGGGGTGAAAAGATTGTGCTAAAATTAAAAATTTATAGAGTCCTTAATGATCTGCATCAATAAAACTGAATTTCAGCATAAATATTTTTAGGTATGTTTTACCACACATTTCATATAAAGAAATGTTGCAATCAGGAAAGTTGTGAAGGATAATAAGATCTTTGTTTTACATGAGTTTTCTTCCTACATTATGTGTTTTATTTGACTTTATGAATATGTGGGTATGAATTGCTGCTGGTTGTGTACTTGACCTGAATACCAGTAAGGTTTATTATATTCACATATAGTATTTTATGTTGGATATCACCCAGTCTCTGATGTATAATACATATAAACAGAGCTCTGGGAGTTACTGTACTGTCACACTTGCTATTACTAATGTTCTAATGGTTACAATACTAATCTCAAGTCGCCAGGTTTGATCCCCACCTGTAATAATAATATAATAAAAGAGTATTTCTTTTAGGATAACAGCAACCATTCACCTGCAAACATGAGCAGAGCTAATGCATGAAACATTGTTAATATAAAATATATCTCAGATAATGGACTGTCTAACATAGTCATAGTACTAGGATAATAAATTAAACATTATCATGAACAATTACAAAATTCAATGGATTACTTCCAGTATGTTTTAATCAAATCTTTTTGCCTATGAAAAATTTGTTCCACTTCTTTTTGTACATAGATTCTCTTTGTTTTTCTGCATTTGTATTTAATATTATACCTACAGACAATTCATGAAACTTATTCCACAAAAAGGTATGTGTCCATTGGCTTGTTTTATGTAGACTTTGTATTATTAAGATAGTGGAGTGATAATACCTTAGAATACTAATAAGAAGAGATGTGTGGGAAGTTGATGTTCACTGAGACAACCACTTGAAGCTATGGCATAAAATGTTTGTTGCGTTTAGAACACGTATTACAAACGAGCGGGAACGTGTCTGAAGAATACCGGCAGAGACTCCTTTCGTGGTGGTTTNTTAGAACACGTATTACAAACGAGCGGGAACGTGTCTGAAGAATACCAGCAGAGACTCCTTTCGTGGTGGTTTATTATTTTTTATTATTGCTAGTGAGGTGGGACTAAGTCCCTTGTACTGCAGCCACTTGTTGCCAATTAGAATACTACTGGAAATTATACCTGACAAAAGAAATGTGAACATATGAGGCTGAATGGACATTTGCTGTCACAAAAAAAGAAAGTTAAGGGATTTCATGGATAAAATGTGTGAATCATTATCCTTTGTGCATGTGTTCTTGTTTATCTGTGATGTGCTGAGCTCTGAACATCTTCAGCTATCATGGATTAGGCACGTAACCATACGGTTTTTTAATATGCCGTTGTTTGGAAACTGGTATAAGTCCTGATGACATGTAATGGTAATGACTTAAGTTCTGTGGTTTTTATGGTGGTGATCTGTTCAGATTGTGGCCTACTGAATAGTGACACCATGTAGTCTTGTAGGCACCAGCTGACTTTTCAGAGGAGCATGCTGTGTAATCTTCCACTAGATGCAGGCATTTTGGAGGAAAATGCTGTCTCCAGCTTCAATCCTGAAGATGGAATCAGCTTCAGTATTCACCTAAAATAACTGTAATGTCACAACCCAGAATACCACAAAGTAGACAGTTTTACTTTTTTCTGTTGATGCCAGACAGTGTAAACAGTGTCCAAATATCGCATTCACCATGTTCCTCGGGAGCAAATGGACACTGAAAGTACCGTATTTACGCGTGTATAGGCCGCAGCACAATTTTCAGACAGAAATTATAGAAAAAATAATTTTCTTGGAATATTATTTCAGGAGTAGAACATTCTGTATTACTAATTATGAATATAATTTTTTTTTAAAATGAAGTGTGATTTCGAATATTTTGAATATAAGCTGCACCCCAGTTTTCCTCTTGAATTTTTGGCAAAAAATGTGCGGCCTATACATGCATAAATACGGTAATTTACAGTATCAAATATCTGGACAAAGCGTAAGTGATAACTAAAAGATTTTGTAAAAGCCATATATATGAATGAAATGTAGAGAAGAGGTACATGTTGGAATCTATTGAGAAGATGGATGTAGCCAGGGATTAACCAAGAGTTTCACAGTTTTACAAATTCTGTTCATAGTTAAACTTAGTAAGTATCAATCCCTAAAACTGACACAAACCTCTCAACTGTCATCACTTGCCTGAGCTATCATTTTCTCTATGTTTAAGAGCCGCTCATCCAACTGATTCACCACCTTAGATATAACATCTAAGTTGTGGTCGGTAGTACGATGGCGTTTGTCCAAACCAACCAGAGCCTTCTTCAGCTGCTCACCCAACTGTCGTTCCCGGTACTCATGACGCTCCAATTTGTCACCCGTATCTCGGAACATATTCACCAAGGACAAGATTGCATCACGGATATCTTCATGCCTTGATTATAAGGAGAGGGTTCATAAAACAGTTGTGCAAAAGTGAATAATTCTTATTATGAAAGTTGTCATTTTGTTTTTTAAAATCATTCAAGTTTGTAAATAATATGACAGGAATTTTGGTCTCTGATAGCTGAATTATGTGACGGTCCTATGGATTGAATTTATTAAATACAGCTGAAGTACCTTATATGATTTCTATTGTTATTCATCCTAATTTATAAAACGTAGCATAATTCAAGAATTTTTTTCCCCCACAGAGTCATGGTTTGTAGTCGTTACTTTGCTGTAAGCATGCTAAATCTGAACACACTACCTAAAATATTTTTGTTCATCTGTAATTTACAATCCAGAGATGGTTCCTGTCTCTGGCCAGAATTGTCTGTAGTGTTGTACATTTGTATTTTAAACAAGACTTAACCATATAACACACCCAGTTTCATTAAATTCTTTAGGAGCACTGATGTCATGTCACTGCTTAATTTACAATCATCACAGTATCAAACAAGACTTAACTATATAACTTACCCAATTTCATTAAATTTTTTGGGAGCACAGATTATGTTTGGCATGTCACTGCTTAATTTACAATCATTACAGTAAGAATATGGGGGCATGCAGTAGCGTAGTTGGTTGAGGCACTATGCTGCAAGCCGGAAGGATCGAATCCCCATGAGGTCATTGGATTTTTTTCAATTTTCCTAATCCTTCCAGCCGCAATATGGCTTGGGGTCGACTCAGTCTCTAACAGATATGAGTACCAGGAATTCCTCTTCCTCTCAGTGACATTGAGTCTCCCATCTCCTACCCCATTATGCCTTGGAAGGTCATGATTCTAACATAATAACTATTACTCTGACAGTTTAGGTAATTGTAGTCTATTTTATTTATAGAAGAGAGAATGAAATGTAGAATAGAGCAGATAATTATATTCATAAGGTAGGTCATGCAGAGTAGCTAAGAAAAACCATAAAAATGAACATCTAATGGTGCTATGGTGAAGATATGATAGACCCAGAAAGCCAGTAGTTGTTTTTGAACTATCTTTGAAGAACTAGCCTGGCCTCAGAAGAGTTCTGAAGATGCTGTCCAGCAGTGTTGATGAAATTAGTATTGGAACAATAAATATAATGAAATTGAATGAAGCAAGATGCCTACAAGAAATAAATGAATGTATGAAAGAGATAAGTACACGTAGTAAAGAATAACAGCGGCACGCACACAGGAAGACTGCACAGGATAACAGTGCAGTGTAACTGCAGTGTGGGAACAAGAACTAGCTGCTACAGCACTTTAGACATAGGGCGAGTAACCCTAAGAATTTTAAATTTGGAATTTGGAGAAAAAAACAAATTTAAAGGATTTTAAAATTAGAACTAAAGATTTTATAGTGCTACTACAGGTACGTCAGAATTAACGTGTGTAAAGTGATCTACATCCAGACAGATATCAACGAAGTAGATGTTGATAATAACAAGGAGAGTGTTTTAAATGTTAAATTTTTGGCTGAGTGCAGTGTGACAGCGACGTGAGTGTTATACACCTGATGATGGCCGTCTGTGGCCGAAACATGTAGTGTGGGTGAACAAGATCAAGGACACATAATATATTGTTTGCACTTGGGACGGAATTTGTATCATATCATTTATGGATAAAGTATTAAAAACATTTAAAAGAGATTATAACGTGATACACAGTTAATTTTGATTGTAAGCAAAAACTTTTGTAACGAAATTTTAAAAATATGTAAATAATGAAGGCAGTGACAAGGATGTAATGAAAGACTGTGATATTTAAACTACATAATTCGTAAGTCAGATGATAATCCCTAAGTAATATAAAAGAAGAAATGACTAAGAACGAAACTGAGCCAATGGCAAAAGAATGGAAGCCGTTTAAAAATATACGTTAGTAACAGAAAAGGAATGTGGGAGATCATCAAGGTGAAAATAAAACGCCCTATATGTTTGATATCGGACAATAATATTGGGCATTATGCATTAAGACCTACTTGCGTTTCTGAGTGAATTTCGAAGTGTAAGTCCCAGCATACTTATGGGAACAAAACATGTTTCGAACAAGAGGTAAAAGTAAAAAGTAACAAGTAAAGAAGTTAAGGTATCCCTGTGACAGGACTTGGAGGCCATAGAGTTGTGAGATGTTGAGGTTCCCACATTTTCTAGACAATCGGCTCACAGATGGCGGTAAGGTTGTCAGCCCTACGCGCCGGCCGTCCTTTACCCCCAAGAATATTCTTGATACTCATTTCTGTTAGAGGCTGAGTCGACCTCCAGGGCCAGTGTGCGGCTGGAAGGATGAGGTAAATCGAAAAAAAATCCAATGACGTCATCGGGATTCGATCCCGCGACCTTCCGACTTGTAGCATAGCAAAATTAAACACACAGTTTACATCAAATAAACTTTTTCCTCGAAATTCTTGACAGCTTTCTAGATACTTAAACACAAGGAAACGAAGGCGCCAGAACTGTTACGCTATGAATGCATTTCCCAGCTTGTTACTCCGTGGTGGGTGAGGGTCGAGATCAAAAGAGTATTGGGTTAAAAGTCACGTATGTAATATTTCGTGAAGGAATTCTGTTTCTTCTCATCTAAATATAACCTGACAGTCGCAGTTTGCATGAAAATGCAGAAAAAATCGACGACTACAAAGAAACAAGAGAATGTTTCTTCGCGTACAGACGACCGGATATTGTGATCTGTGGGCGGAAGATCAACGGATAGCCTTCACTATGGCGCCAGTAGAAGGCTCTGAATGGGGGGGGTCGCCGTTAGTTACCCAATTCCATGTAGCAGAGTCCTTCTTGATAACATAATAATTGTTCCTCTAGCCAAGGTATTTCCTGCCTTTTATGGAACCAGGATTTTAATTGCCGTGTTTACAAGAAATCGACACCACTCACTATCCTGAGCCTACTGACTCCATTTCGCATCCTCTCTTCTATTTCTTTAACCCTCTGAAACACGAATTACTTCTAAATATCATTTAAAAATTGAGTTCATCCCTCACAGGATACATGCTGCATCTCCGTTACAGACCGATCGGCTAATGCATTTTAGTGATACAACAGCGGTTTGTTCTGAGAATCACGTGAAACATATAAATACACTCTTTGCGAAAATTGTAAGTTTGGTAATTGCTATATGTTAGTGATTAGACACGGGATTTGCATTTGTAATTTGATTTACTGGACGCTTATAACTCGCAACTACAAGTACTTGTAATGCTTTCAGTATTTCACACACTCTACTTCTCACTAAGTCCTCTCAGTTTGCTATGTCTTCATCAGTCGTTGCCTGGTAACGGATCCTAACAATGTCCTCTGCTTCCGTGCTCACGTCCTTACTGGCTGGCGACTTTCTCACTCCCAACCCATTGCCCCAACTGACGACTTCCGAGCCATGACTGTTCACTACTGACTGAATGCTAAGTTGCTGCTGTCCCTCGCCAGCACAGTGGTTCTTGGTTCCGAATCATGACCATAATTTGTCTGACGACTGTAGAAGTCTTCAGACCACTCACTCTTCTCGCTATATAGCATCGGCATGGATCTTAGAGAACATCGTTTGCAACAATGTCTTTTTCATCGTTACTTGTGTATCTTTGCCACGGGAACGTGCTAGCCGTTGCGTCACAACGGACCATGTAATCATGTCACAATATTAAAATAAGAGTAATAAATATAGTAACCACAGTGCTTTAAAGGGTTAGGATCAATCTGAATATTACCCTCGCATCTACATCTAGGCCTTCCAAATGGTCCCGCCCTCAGATTTTCCGACCAGAAATTTTCAAGCATTTTTCGACCCTCCCATGCATACCACAGGCCCAATCCATCCCACATTTCTTAAATTGATCGCCCTAGTGGTATATGGTGGAGAGTGAAGGTTATGAATAACCTCCTATTTGTGCAGTTTTCTTCGGCCCCTGTTAGTCCTGTGCGTTAATGTAACAATGTTAAAGCACCATTCTTTGGTATTCTTCTTTATTAAAATCAGTGAGGGTTAGATGCATGTAGAATGTATGGAAGAGATAAATTTGTACAAATTTTAGTTGGGAAAGGGAGGGTAGAGACCACTTCTGAGACATAGGTATAAATGGGACGTTAATATTAAAGTGGATCTCACAGAAATACGAGTATAGTGCGAAGTTACAGACCGGATTCACGTGGCTTAAATAAGGTCTAGTGGCACTCTTCTGTGAACCGGGAAATAAACCTCCAGGGTTCCGTAAATGCGGGGAATTTTCTGACCAGCTAAGGGAATAGTCCTTCTCAAAAATGACTCTACTTCATGGAGTTAGCATAGATGATATATGGGTTCATTTCCTGCCAGAAATGAAAGTATTCACAACAGTTTACGCAACCCTCCTTTTACGTTTGTGTATTCAATGAAATATATACTGCAATACAATTAAACAGGAACATCTTACTCGTTCAAAATTTCAAGTGAGCTTCTGAAAGCTACTAGTCACTTATGATCATTTGTCACAGGAAGAGGAAAGGACCGTCGGGTAATCTTCACCAGTAAACGCTGCTTCATTAAGCTCTAATAATTGTGTCACCTTCTTGGATCAGCATACCTATGCGTGGTAACTTTCAGCAAACTGAAGCACCTTTAGACATGAGCAAACACAGGACCAGACTCACACATGCATCTGAATATTCTTATTTGACTTGCTGCTGCAAAACAATCAGAAAACATGTAATATTTTGGAACAGCCAAGAAACTCCCAACCATCGATATAAATTAAATTAATGGCTTGCACATTAGATAAAACTGTCCTCGTAAGCAAAACCTTTACTGAGTAATAAATTGTCTGTTAATTTAATACTTTCGTCGACAGTGTTTTATTGTGTTTTATGAAACAGGAATGAAATATCCGGTCAATATTAGCACTGAGTTTAGCTTACACTTGCACTGTAAATTTCGTATAGGCCTACTCTGTGCCAGTTTTCGGGTTTTCATAGCTGTGAGTGTTCAGGCTGCGACCTTCCGGGCGCCATGTAATATTGCAGGTGAATACCAACGTCTCTCACATTTCCTATTCAACCGTCCTGTTGGCTCTGACCGGGCTCCATCTCCTGTCCACCTCCCGTGGATCTCAGAGACCAGCTTATACTCGTAAAGCCTATAACCTGCTTGCAAACTGACTCTAAGCACTTCGACCCTGCAGATGGAGGCGGTATGGTTAGTTTCTGTTCTGTCGTTCAGTTTGAAATTTCAATACGTGCAAGTTGCAACCCGACACAGGGCACTGGTAATGTTATTGACTCTGCACTGATTGGCACTACATACAGTTTAAAGATTACAGTTCTATGTTTCCTAGACTGTTCTCGCACTACCACAATAGTAATATTAGCAGGAAGATATAATTTTATGGGCTTTGATTCGCGTCTTTTTTCTTCAAGTAAGAAATCCATGGTATCATTTATTTTTGGTTTTTGCTGCTATAACATAGCGCTGAATGACAGGATGAATTGTGAGTAATTCTAGACGAAGCGGTCATGACCATATATAAGGTAATATTTTGGAGAATTGCTTTGGAAGGGCTATAAAAGCGACAAAATATCTCGACAGTTAAGGCTACCCTCCAGGCTGAGATTTACATAGCGCTTTCCTAATACGAAGCAGGAACTTGGCCAAACGATCTCCAGGAAAACTGAGGCGTAATCGATGGATTACAGCTCTTCAAGCCAACTTAGTACAATAGATTAATTGTTGTACATGACAGCAAATTAGCTCATAGAATGTAAATTCAGATTGCTAATAAATGATAAAAAAAATACGAAGCAGCAGTAATTATCACTTGGCCGCCACGTTTGATGACAACGGGATACTAAACTGTTGCTCAGAGATTTACAAAATCAAATTTATGAGAATGCTCGTCTCTCAAAACGGAAAAAAAAGACTGCGCAGTATTATAGAATTGATTCTTTTTGCGCAACATTGGTTTTCCTTGTGTTATATCTAACTGATGCACTAACTGATGTGGAGTAGGGGGTTCGGTTGTCGACCTATGTGAACAGCTGAGCATTTGGGTATTGATACAACCTCGTGGTGTTGGATTAGGAAATGGTGTCATCTCTACACAGCTCTTCCTTCTCATATCTGTTTTATCACTTTAAAGTGTTGACATCCTCTGTATGACAGGGAAATGGAGGGCTCAAGTGACACCCCATACTTTTCATAGCAGGACAAGGATACAGTTCTCACCAGGATTATAAACTAAATCTAATTCAGTTAAAATGTTTATTGAGGAAACGAATAACCTTGGCTAGATTTTGTTTAGTTCAGTTGGTTTTAGTTAAGTCACGGGATCTGTGAGGTAACTCTGAGCACGACATGGGGCCCAGGGCTAATCAGTAGTAAGTCAGAATACAGGCTTAATAAATACATTATGCACGCGAAATTCAAATTTGGAAGTTCGTGAATTAAGAAGCGAATCTGGATATTTGTTTCTCGTCGCGGGACGCGAGTGTCAGTGAAAATATTCATCGAAAGGACAACTCACATGTCTCTTCACCATATTTCGTACTTAGAAATTTTAATGAAACATAACTCACCTCCAGATAGCACATTGTTATGTCATTGAGTGTGACTACAGACGGGGTTTGGTTTGGTAATTTGATTTATTGAACACTTACAGATCGTAACAACAACTATAGCGCTATCGCTAATTCACACACTGCAGTACACTACAGCATGTGCTAACTCTTCTCTGTCTGCTTCTCTTCACCAGTCGTTGCCTGGTGACGCGTTCCAACAATGCTAACGTTCTTACCGGCTAGCGACTGTCCCACAAGTAACTCATTGCTCCGACTAACTCCCAGGCTGACGGTCACCTCACACCAACCTCCTGCTCTTCTCACTGCCGTCTCAAGACTCTTCTCTTAAGTCAAAGTCAAAGTCAGAGTGATTGTCAGCAGTAATATGTCAGTTTTTAGAAAGTGCAGTATATTGTATTTATATTTTACATATATTATATGTTGTTGAATGCATATACAATATGCCTCTGTCAGTTCAGGCTCAGTACAGCAGATTATGCCCTTTTTCTGGTAGCTCCCGCTACAACGGCAGTCAAGTTACTTGAACGGTCGTATGCTTGACCGCCGCCAAGTTTAATCCTCTTATACTGTCTATGTCGGGCTTCGCCTTGTCCTATGTTGCAAACATTTTCGTTATTATGATTTTATATGACTTCCGCTTGTTTCCTGCATAATAATGTTATATGTACGGAATTCTGAAAGCCATGTGTAAATCGCGAACCGGTGTGCGCCTTGGAAAATTGCCAATGGTGCGGAGAACCTTGTTTTGTAGGCGCTGCAATTTCATTATATGGATTCCCAGGCGGGACTAGCATAAGTCATTACAGATCTAATGAGAGCTTTGTGGAGTGTAAGCTTAATGTTAGCGCTTAATCGTTCACTTTTGAATAGGGAATATACTCTAACACCTGTAAATATTTCGAAGGTCTTGACTTCGATCATTTCTATGTGCAATCAATATGTAACCCTCTTATCGAAGATTACACCCAAGGTATTTTGCACTATTTACAAATGTAATATTTCTTCCCTTCGTTGTAAGAGGAGAGACAGGCGGTCGACGACAGCGAGAGAAGTAGATCCCCTGAGTCTTATCTTAATTAATGTCAATATTCCAGCGCTCACGCCACGTCTCCATTGAGCTGGAACTCACTGTTACAGAGCGGACCTGATAATTCTGTCCCATACACTGGTGCGAGATATCAATGTGCATTTAAAGTTCCCGGAATTTGTTTACATTCTATTTCCCTTATTCGTACACTAGAATTTAAATTTAAAATTAAAATAATATGGAATATCCATCTATATGTGGTACACTCTAAAGCGGATATTCTCCACTGAAAGTAGGAGATACTTCTGAATTCTTTAACATTTAGATCAAATGTTACTTTGGAACAGTGCAACCTTTGCAATGTATGCATATTTCTTTCTTCTGACATATAACGTTAAAAGACATTATAATAACATGCTCATTAGAATGTAAACCATAATTTCCTCCATCTGTACGAGGAGAAATAAAGTTTCCGGACTTACGAAACAGTACGTGGAGATGCGTAGGAGAAAGAGACGAGCGTCAGAATGACGAAACTGCTCCTCATGTCGATAGTTTCTTGGAACAGACGCTCTGAAACAAAGAACAGAAAGAATTATCCTATAATGGACCAATTTATAAACCCATTTTGAACTTTATAACCGAGATGCGCAGGAATGACTGACGAGCACATCACAATAGTGACCTTGATGATGGGCCGATGGTTGAGAGACTAGTATCTCGGAGACAGCCAGTCTACAGGTATAGTCAACAGCAGCAGGAGGCCCCATTTCCAAACCCATAAATATCTCGGAATGAACAAAAATTTGAAACCAAGGATGAATCTGCTGGCGAGGTTCCAGTAGTAATTTCCCCGACCGAACGATCACGGGCAGAGGGCTACGGCCAAAACAATGAAAACAGAGGTCAAGAAATACTTCGGTAACAAGCTAGAGCCATTTAGAGATGTTCCCGGCATCAATAGCATAGTAGAACTTCAGGTACAAAAGTGACTTATGTTAGGGACACTAGAATTGCAAACAGAATATGTAAATGACTACTTGCCTTCTGTCTTCAGGGTTCAACGCTGCAGATGGAGACATTATGTTCGCCCGCAGCAGCGGTATCCTCCCAACAAGATACACTGTACCACGATCCAGAAGACCACAATCTTAGTAGTTACCGTCGTGAAAACCGCAAAACCTGTATGTTTAGACCAAGTCTGCCGATAGATCAATTAATGCCTATAATACGCCTACTGATTTGCATGATTTGATCACGGGACACACAGATGCATCTGATGTAACAAAAGAGCGAAACCATTGTTCTTCCTTTGTAGTACTGAAAGGAGCTAATTATGGAAGTAGCAAATTCGAGGGTTCAGTAAATTTTCTGTTACTGTAACGGCGCTGTGCGCATGTCACACTGATCCAGCGAGAACTTCGGCCTCTCCTGCTAGGCCAAAAGGCGAGCATGTGGTTGCCTGACAGTGGATCACACACGTAGATACTTATGTTTAAGTAAATAAATAGATCAGCAAATAAACAAACAAGCAAGAACACAATCGAGTGAGAGAGTGAGTGAGTGAGTAATCGAACAAACCAGGGAAACAAATACAAATAAAAAAAAACTATCCCTGTAACAGGGCCTGATGGCCCATAGGGTTGTGAGACGTCGAGGTTCCCACATTTTCTCCGTACAATCTATTCACAGATGGCGGTGAGGTTGTCAGCCTTACGCACCGACCGCTTTTTACCCCAGAGGAAGATTCCTGGTACTCATTTCTGTTAGGGGATGAGTCGATCCCAGGGCCATTGTGCGACTGGAAGGATAGATAAATTGAAAAATTCCACCTCATCGGGACTTGAACCCGCGACCTTCCACCTTGTAGCATAGTGCCTCAACCATGCTACCGCGTGCCCCACCAAATACAAATATATATAAGAATGTAGGATATGAGGTTCTCACAGCGGTTAATATGAAGAGTTCTATCTTTTGTGATATAATGCCGTGTAGTCCGTTGAAGGTCAACGGAAGTTGCGGAGGAATATGTGGCCTCTACCTTCAGAGTGGAAGAATAAGCCAGACAAGAGACCAGCGTGAAGTAGGTAGCGAGGACAGTTTGCGTTTATTCTTTATATCTTAAGATGGAGGTGACACATCCCTCCAAAACTTCAGCTGACTTTCAACAGACTACACGGTGTTATATCGTAGAAGACAGAACATTTCAAATATAAGTAAACAAAGAAATGTGTATAAGTAAATAAAGGACAAGAGCGGGGGGACAACATTACCGTCACGAACCTACCAAAGACTATTAACACAAGGCATGTCACAATATCTTTTGGCCTTGACCTTTAGTCGCAGAATTTGCGGCGTATTCCTTGCATCTGGATCTATATTTTATGCGTGAAGGAACCTAAATTCAGAAACGAGATTGAGAATTTTGAAACACAGTGCGCTAACTGAAATACAAACACGTGCGCACGTTGCGAAGAGAGTGGCATTTCTCTTTTTGCCGAGGGGAGGAAGGTAGTATTTATAGAAATGTGGACACAGCCCGCAGGAGAGAGGAACAGATTCCCCTATTCATTTATCTCACATGCCGACATTTATCCCAGATTTTCCGTTTCACAGTACGTGACATAGACACTACCAATGTGGAGAATTCGCGTTTTCAAACGTGCCCTTTGCCTCATTTAATGGCTCATTGCTTTGATGTTCGCTTATTGCATACAAGCGGAAGTGCCTGTTCTTCGCCAGGGGTACTCTTCCATTCCTTGTCTTATCGCAATGTATTTTAGTAGCTGAAACTGTAACACTGGAAATAAGAAATTAAACTACAGTAAAGAAATTTGTCATGAAAATTCAAACTGCATCCGGAAAACCTACCGAATATTTTCACTACCGTACTTATTGGCATGAAGTAAATTCCATATATATGAGTCTTCTGCATTAGATCTACGGTAAGAAACAGGAAACAAACAGAAAAGTTTCAGTTTAATATAAATCTATTGTTGAAATTTGAATCATACAAAGACCGGCCACTCTATGGACACGTGCTTATTTTTCTTTGTCTCTCACTTACTATTCTTATTTAAATATGATTCATACAAAAGATGCAAAGTTGGAGATCTACAGAATTATCAGAAATGATGCAGTAGTTACATCGAAAGTAATGAATTTTGTGGCACAGAAAACTTAGTTGCATTTCTGTGGAAAGCATCCCTTAACAAATTTTGACTGCAATTATGGAATATTTATATTTTGAAAATTACACGTAATATTAGATGTCCAGAGATCACATACCGCAAATGTGTTTCCGTGAATAAAATCTACCTTGCCTTATTAGTGTTGTGATATCAGAATCAGTACTGTAAATATAATGCATCAATAAATATAAACATTCAGAGTTCCGACGTCTTTTTCATGACCTTGCATATTTTATGCTGTGCGTCATTCTGTTCTGTAATAAACGTTTTTAAGAAAGCATGATAAACGTTTAATTTAAGTTACTTATGATGTAGGTTGTATGGATCGATAAGTGTGAATGTCAACTTTCGTCTATCCTGATTAATTATAGATTACCAGCATCAGATTTATTTAGCCGAAATTTGTTGAGCAGTGTCGGACTGAGAATATGCGAATATACAGACACAACCACAGTATTATGCGTTCACTTTAGGCACGCTGTGGAAATTCCTCTTGAATATAAAAGTAAACTCAGGTGAAGAAAATGTCAATCAAATTAAAACAAACATGAAATTTGTCAGTACAGCCGTCAAGCATACAAGTAGAATAGTAAAAAGGTCCACTGAGCGAAGTTCTACTTAAGGAGCTAATACTCGTTTAGCTGGTCAAGAAATTATTTTACGGAAAACAAATATTTTTAACATTCGCCTCCTATCTACACCTGGGTCACCTGAACAGTCTATTACCTCCATATTTTCTGTGATTATAATAAACTCCTTAGCGCGAAGCAGTAAACTCTGCCGGTCACAGTGGCCGCTATCTACAATTCATTATCTCAGCATTTTTGACATCGTTTAATTTTTGTGAGTTTTTCCGCAGAAATCTATCACCCAGTGTCGAATTAGGATCAACACGACCACGAACGGGAGCCTCTCCATTCATCAAAATACAAATTCCCTTACCAAAAACATAGCATAATTTGACAAATTGTCACGGTTTCGAATTCCGTTCTGAATATGAAGGTCCCGTCAGCGTTTGTCACATTTGGGCAGACGCCTTGCGAGGGATCAGTTCCCTCGTTCCCTCTCACCCTGACAACCTACCTGTCTAGACGTTGACATTTTGGTTTCCATGTTTCTGTAACAACTCCATACTGACTTACGAATGCGCAGTAAGAACAGTAAACAAACATCTTTGTATTAAGGAAATAAATCAGCGCTTGTTCTTTCCAAGAATTTAGTGATAAAAAGCAGCTGCTGGTTATTATGGCAAGATGACCCTGACAAGTTTTCGACCTAGTAAAGAAAGTCCTTTAAATATCATATCCCTGGACTTAGTTCATCTGATCTGAAAATTTAAAAGCATTTATGACATAATTCTACTATTCAACACATGTTCACACCGGAACTGTCTAACGATAACAGAACCTCTGCTTCTCTTCAGCCCCAGATCATTAATAATGTTCTCTTAGGGAACTAAACAGCTGGTAGCCATTCGGTTTTATGAACTATTGTTCGCATGCATCACAAGAACTTATAACTGTTTCCATTTCTGACCACGAATTAAACGATCCAAACTTAGTCCAATTAAAATAAATCAGGGGGGGTCGGAAATCTGGGCGCCAGCTTGAAAAATTGCATAAATGTAATGGGAGGGCGCTTACGGCTAAAAATAACATTTTTTTTTGTCATATGTTGAACATTACCAAATTACCATCTGGCCTTGTTATAAATTTAGTAAATTCCTCGTTAATTGCATGGAATGGTAACAACATTGAAGTATATTACATCACTCGTTATGATATCGCTATACTTTCCACGTAATTCTGACGAGCCGCGACATTGCATTTCTGACGAAACTGAAGAGAACTCCACATCTGGTTCATTTATGTCATAGAGCAGGCAGTCATAATGATACTTTATATGCTCCTGCAGCCATAACTGTATGAAATCCTTCGCGTTGGTTCAACTTCCCGTAATTATCTAACAGTTCTTCTTAACAAGAGAGACAAATTGCACGGATCTGCAAATAACAAATTAGCCCCTCAATGAACATAAGTGGTTTGCAGCTAAACTCCTCTCCCATGGCATCCTTCTTGTCTATTATTTTATTGACCAGTAGCATTTCTGTCATCCATTCGTAATTTTTGGACCCGGAGGCCTCCTCTCCTGAGGACTGGTTGTCATTTCCTTCAGTCCATCCAGGTATTGTTGGGAAAGTGGCGTAAAATAAGCCGCGACCTATTCCTTCCACGACATCAGAATTTATTACTCATAATCTCACTCCGCGCTATATAACCCGCCAGTGTACCTGAGAAGGTGCTGGAAGGCGCCCCACAGGGACAGGACAGTGACTTCCAGCCCCAGCTGGGACTCGGCACCAAGACAGACAGACTGATCGTCAGTCGCAATGTGACTTTGACTTTGAAAAAGTGCTGCTGAACAGAAACGAAGAAAGACAGAGGATTTTTTGTTGACTAAAAGGAATAGGATAAAAGGTGAAGTTGTCCCTGTGCTTAATCAATTAAATACTAAGCCGTGAAGACGAATTGGGGAGTGCAGGTATTAGCTCCGCCGTTCATCACCCCGGCAGCCAGTTTCACGTTTCGGCCTATTTACCCCCGGAAAAGAGCCCCCTGAACCCACTGAAGAAGAGGTTAGGTGGGACACAGAGCCGGTTTGGACGCTGTGGAATAGGGACAAATTTCTTGTTCCTGCCGGGAATCGAACCTCGGCCGTCCATCCCGTAGTTCGTCGCTATACCGACTGAGCTATGCCAGCTCCTGAAGGGAATAGGATACACAATATAAAGCCCCTCCCTTCTTAATGTAAGTCCGACTTCAAATTGATACATTCTCTTTACAACAAATGGAGTTCTAGCGACGGAGGAACGGTGGTATAACAACTGCACCTTTTGTGAAAGAAATGCCGCTACAGAGATTTGTATAAAGTTGCTCTTCGTTTTACTTATTTACTCCAAGTCTTGACGTCATGTGTTAACAGCTGTGTATA